GAAGAGCGTGCTGCTCATGAAAGCATCTGCGCTGAGCTCGAAAAAGAGAGAAATGCTGCAGCATCAGCTGCGGATGAGGCCATGGCGATGATAACAAGGCTACAAGATGAGAAGGCGTCGATAGAAATAGAAGCAAGACAGTTCGAGAGGGTGGTGGAGGAGAAATCGACATTCGACGCTGAAGAAATGAACATCCTCAAAGACATTTTGTTACGACGAGAGAGGGAAAAACACTTCCTGGAGAAGGAGGTTGAAGCTTATAGACAGCTACTGGAGGAAACCGATGGACTGGAATCATCAATAAGAGAGGGCCCTCATCAAACGCCAAATACTGAGAGAGAAAAGGTGGAGGAACAAGGGGATGAATTGGAGGTTCCTGCAGAAAATCAAGATTGGCAAGAGAAAAGAGCTTTACTTGCGCATCAAGTAAGGAAAGAACCTGAAGAAACCGGTGGTAATACGCCAAATGCAGAGGATAATATCATATATAAATCAAGAGATCTGTATAAATCAGATTCTGAGGTCACCTATTCCGGCGGTGTTCATGACGTTCACATGGTGAAGGACGAAGCTTACATTGGTAAAGCACAGAACACTGGTCGGAAACTTGAGTCGACATGCCGAGTGTCGGAAATGGCTCGGAGGTTGCCTCCGCTGTACAGGCCTCGTCGGAAATGGTTAAACGCTTCTTCTGGGTCCCGGAGAAAGTCCATGACCGCTGTCGATTATGAAAGGTTGAAGATAGAGAACGAAGTTGAGTTGCTAAGGGAAAGATTGAAAGCTGTTCATGATGGAAGGGAGGAGCTTACCCGTCGAGCATCCTTGCCGTCTTTATCATCATCAAAGGTCATAATATATACTTAAAATTCTTCCATCTCATACTTTCTGGTGAAATTTTCGATCCAAAAACCCGGAAATTTTTCCGCTTAGCAGTTTTTATCATCCTTGATCTTGGTTCCACTGGATCTGAAAGATTCGATCTTTTATGAAAAGGGTTCTCTGGTTTTCACTGTGTGAATCTTTTTCAGGTTGAGGTCACGTCAGAGAAGCGAAGAAGCAGAAGATCTTCCTTGGACATTCATAGTTCTTGAATCCATAAACACTGTCATGTATATACACAACACACACGCACACACACACACACACACATATATATATGTGCATATATGAGATTGTGGTGTATATATACGAAAACCCACCTGGGTCGTTTGGAGCTCAGGGACTGAGAGTTGATCATCTTTCACAGCAGAGATACCTTGGGACGCAAGTCAGCTTTCACGAAGGAAAGTTGTATGGAATGAGCCTTGGATTCTGTGTATGTGTGTCGGACTATATGTATACAAATGTGATTATACAAATATTTATCAGTTTTTCGTATTAATGCATAAAATTTCGGTTTTGTCGGACCATATGGATACATAGAGTTGTGTTCCCGACGGGACATATACACACAGCATGCCCAAATGTTCTCATCTTTTATAGATTTTTTGTTTTTGTTTTTAGATACGTTTTTTTTTAAATTTTATTTTCAAAGTCAATAGTAGACATCATTAAAAGCTGTAACACATTAAATATATGTATTTAATTACCATTTAATATAATATTCGTCGTTTGGGTTACAAATACACCAACGGATTACGATAGAATTTATAAGTATGTTTTGCAAAAACATAGAATCCTTAAATGTTTGCACATTGGGGAAACATGTATCTTTTAATATTTGTTCATGAATCCAGAAAATATTTTGAAAAATGTCATCGAAATATATGTTAAAATTCATAGTATCAAAAGAAAATAATGTATTTTGTTTAGATGAAAATCTTTCTAAGATTTCAATATTCTTTATTCTCCGCAAATATATTTTTAGTGTGTGAATAAAAAGAATAATATATTTATCATTATCTCGAATATATGTCACATATTGAATTAAAAAAATTGCTGGTTTCATATGAAACCCAAATAATCATAATTGTGCTGTTCATGATGGATGTACCTCGATATTTTAAATTCACATCGCTTGAAAATTGAAATTGGACGGTTATGCATATTAAGATAAGAGACTTTTGTTAAATTATATTTATTTCCATAAATAATAAAAAATGAGAAAAGAAATTATCGTAGTTATTGGAATTAATAAATACAGAAACGAAAAATTGGCGCTCGTACGTTACGGCACTCATGTCTCACTCCTGCTTACCCTTTTTTGTTTGTTCTGAAAATTTTCCATATTTTTATTTGGAAATTTATCTAAAAATATTTATTTTCTAGTAAAACACAAAATATTTGTGGTTTACATGTGCAGTTATTCGTCTAATAAAATATTTTATTTTTACAGAAATTAATTTGTAAAATATGTTGATATTAATAAAATATAGAATTTATAATGTATTCGGTTGAATAATGTATTCGGTTGAATTATAGAATCTAACTTCATATTTTCTAAAATTATTTTTTCCTCAATAACTTACTAAAGCATTTTATTATTTAATTTTGTCACGTATTTTTTTTAAAGAGTTAATTTTTTCAACACCACTAAAGTGAATAGAAGGAAACAACCAAGAGATATATAGGTATTATATATATATATCAATATCATCATATATATATATAATATTATATATATAACAGAAAATAGGTTTGAATAAAACTCATAGAAGCAAACTATATTTATAAAAAAAAAAAACCCAAATATTTATCTCCCAAAAATTTTCCCTTTTTGTGTGGCCAATCTTTAATTGAAAAGATCTAACTTTTAATTTTAAAATAGAAAATTGTTTTCTTCCATAAATTCGATATCATTTTCATCTGTTCCCTCATATCTTTTGCATATGCACCAATTCTCTCTCGGTGATGGTAAGTTTTTAATATTTTGACCTATTTTATAGCCTCGCCCTCTGTTATTTCTTCATCTGGGTTTCTCCCTTTTTAACCTTTGGAAACATCACATCACGTCCATACGAAAATTCCATATATACGCTCGCACACATACATACTCCTTCCTCTGCATTTTCCATGATATTCTCTATGCCTCGCCATTAAAGGGAGGGGGGAGAAAGAACACTAAAGCTGAGATTTTTATGAAAATTTCAAGGCTAAATGGTTACTGGGTCATTAGGCGACGGTGAGAATCTTTTGTTTTTCATCTTCTTGTTTTAAATATGTATACACATTTCTTGTTTCTCCTTCTCATCTGGGTTTTCACTTGTCATGTCGCGGGAAGCCAAAAAAATGGAATTTTTCTGCCATAAATCTACGAAAGATTGAATCTTTCTTTTGCCAGACGAAGAGGAAATTAATGGGCTCTCGGAGTTTGTCGTTGGGCATTAAATCTAATCGACGCCTGCGATATATTTGTCAATATGCCTGTTTGGGATTTCTCTGCCTTGCCTTCATAGAATCTCACGCATATGTCAGTCATAGCCCTGTAGATATACGCTTATATACTATACGTATCAGCAAAAATATTCTCCTTTCTCTCTGTATGTGTGTGGGTGTGAGAGAGAAAGAGATATGAATATTTGCTCTGGATCCTGAAAAGAGTGTCTGCTTTATGAGCGCAAGTCTCTTTACATTAATGGCGTCTGTGTGTTCAGTTCTTTGGCTTTATGGGATAAGGAGAAGAATTCTTCGTAGTCTTTATTATTCCTCTTCTTCGACTTTGAATTCATTGCATCCTCTTGTGGCTTTGATGTGTTTTTTTTTCTCCCTCGCGTTGTCTCAGTAATTTTCCTCGCAATGCCAAATCCGGTTTCTGGTTTGTCTTTTGAAGCTTGTGTTTTTAGATTCACAGGCACTCCAAATTTTCCCGGAAACTGATTAGAACAGAAAAAAGATCGTCCATTACATGCAAATATTCCTCTTAGATAGAGAACTGTTGAATACATTCCAAGGACGAAGCCAAAAGTATCTATATAATATGTTCTCACAGTCATTCCTTTATGAGCAAGACATGTCCCTTAATTCTCTTGACTCCTGTTCATTTAATAAGCAGAAAGTGATTTGCTGAAGTATGCTAGTGGTTGTTGAACATGTACAGTGGCATTCAAGTCTGTTTTTTTTCTTTTCTTGAAATTTTGGTTTTCCAGAGATTAAAGACAACTGGGAATGGCATCGAGTTCTTGTCCGAAACAGAGCACAGTAGCCATGAACCACAACACCCAGACTTATCCATCTCCTCTTGCAAGGTACGAGGATGTGGTGGCAAGCCAGAAGCTTTTCATGGCCACTTTGGAAAAGCTACACTCTATGATGGGTACTAAATTCATGTAAGTTTTTCTTGCTTCTCTTGTTATGTCCAATCCTTAGAAGAGGATTTTCATACCACAAGAACCAAGCCTATCGGTTATCTGTTGATTCTGTTTAAAAATTGTGGCTTGGAAAGTTTCTGCCTTTGGGTTGAACCACTTGGATGGATGACTCATGCTGATGCCTTCTCTGTTCACTCATATATGATTGCAAAATTAGCACTCCTGTTCTGCTCCTGTTTATCTTTGTGTTTAAAACAGTGAATCTCTTATCAAAATCCTGTCTTTTACCAATATATGAGCTCCTCTATCTGTAGTGGCAGTGACAGCAATATGGGTGACTGCTCTGTTTGGCCAAAGCCAATGTGCTTAGCCTTTCTATGAAAGAAAGATCCGGTGTTCTTTTAATCCCTGGTTGATAGACCTCGTAATAATTGTATATATGAAATTCATTGTTCCATTCTGCATTGTGACTGTAGGATACCGATCATAGGGGGGAAGGAGTTGGATTTGCATAAACTATTTGTTGAGGTAACTTCTCGTGGTGGAATCGAAAAGGTAATGCCCAACAAGTCTTTATACTTCTGTAAAATCTTGGAGCATTGAAAGTTTGATATGTGGGTCAATAAGATTGATACTAAATAGTGACATTTCAGAATGGGAATAGGCAAATGACCCATGTTATGTGTTGTATATGAAGAATTTTATCTGGAAAGTGATCAGTTTCCTTTATCATTTGGATCATTTTCCCTGTTGAGTCTGCAGATCATTAGAGAAAGAAGATGGAAGGAAGTAACCGCTACATTTAGCTTTCCCCCGACGGCAACAAACGCGTCTTTTGTCTTGCGCAAATACTATTTCTCGCTGCTTCACAATTATGAGCAAATCTATTTCTTCAAAGCTCGTGGCCAGATCCCTCCCGGTATGCACATTAATAGAATCATAACTGTTAACCGGAAAACAAATATGTATTCATGTGATTTGTAAAAGCATGTTTTTCTGCAGACTCTACTAGATCAGTTTCCATGCATGGAACTGTAAAACCATCTCTAGAACTTCAAGCTATAACATTTTCGCAACCAAGGAACGATTCTGGAGAAAACCCGGCAGGTCTGAGCTTTTTATCCTTTTTCCCACCTTTTCATTTCTCCTTGAATCCATTATGTTTCTGAATAGTGCTGCAAATCCATGTTTCTGATTGATATGGATTCCATATGAAAAAAGGCTACCTCCAAATGTGACTGTAGATTCCAAGTAAAGATCTTTTCCCTTTTCCGGTTTACACATTCTAAATCTCACGTGGAACGTTGCCTGATTTTTTCCCCTTTTCGGGAAATTATCTTTTGTCGATTTTCGTTATGTTCTGTAGGATATTTCTCCCAGTCAAGCTTTCTTTCTTTGCAAAAGTTTCCATTGATCATGATCTGATTCTCTTGTATGATATCTTCAGTTTCTATTTTGAGTAAGAAGCTGTGACTTACAAAAAAAAAATGACTCCTCCTCCTTCTCCTTCTGCATTTGCAGCATCTTCAACTGGTTCCCCTGTGATCGGAGTCATTGACGGGAAATTTGAGAGCGGTTATCTTGTTACTGTCACAATCGGATCAGAGAAACTCAGGGGAGTCCTGTATCAGATTCCAAAGAACACTGGTCCTCCAAGTTATGGCGTTTTCCCCACCAGCTGGACAGACAAGGCTAATTATCAGACACCTTCAGGAACAAAACGACGAAGGAGAAGGAAGAAATCGGAGATAAAGAGACGGGATCCAGCTCACCCGAAACCCAACAGAAGCGGGTATAATTTCTTTTTTGCAGAGCAGCATGCCAGGCTGAAGCCGCTTCACCCGGGTAAGGACAGGGAGATCAGCAGGATGATTGGTGAACTCTGGAACAAGCTCAATGAACAGGAAAAATCGGTATGATATGAAGATCACACTCTTTGTTTCTGTCCTTTTGTCCATTATCTTCTTTCTCTGCTGAAGTATATGGATCATGTTCAATCCATAGGTGGCTGAGTTCTAAAGGGGCTGTCTTTTTCAGAAATATGAACAAAACCATGGCTTAAGACCTCATTGCACCTAAGATATCATGATTGGGGGCTGTTTTCAACAATTTTTCGGGGTTTTCGGATGAAAAGGCTGCAACTTTCTGTTTTTGTTTCACATTCTGCTCCAATTTCTGTGTCTAGGTTTATCAGGGGAAGGCTCTGGAGGACAAAGAACGATACCGGGCAGAAATGGAGGACTATCGAGAGAAGCTGAGGACGGGTCAGCTGATCAGCAACGCTGTGCCACTGCAACAGCGGCTTCCTGGGCAAGACCTGGAAATGGCTGAAGCTGATGCCACCATGGAAGAAGCCGAAGCCGAAGAAGAAGAAGGAGAAGAAGAAGGTGACTCGAGTGGCTGCTCAGGCGAAAGCGAACAAGAGGAAGATCAAAACTGTGCATCTGATGCTGAAGTGGAAGAAGGGTCCCACCCCGGCCCTAAGCCTCCCGCTGCTGACTCAGCGGCTGCGCCTAGGGAGAAAGCTGAGCATTTGGTCGAACCATTCCCTGCTGCCAAAGCCGAAGAACCATTGCCCGGAGAAAAACAAAGCTGAAAGGTTCTTCTTCTTAACTTCTTCTTCAGTATCACTTGCGGTGCAAGACATCTTCTTAGCCATTGCTTCATCGTCCTTGTTTAGTTTTCTTCTGCGGCAAGGTATCTATCGATCGATCGATCTTCGTCAGAACAGACACAACAGGGTTTTGTTTTGGTCTCGCTTAGGATTCAAGTTGGCATCCGTAGGAGATTCAGTGTAGTTGAAGAGATGTGTCCCAAAGGTTTCAGCTTTCATTTAGAACCAAATCATTTCCTATTCATACAGCATAGTTATTCCATCGTTTCATACAATATAGTTTCGCATTTTATTCGACCGCCCGTGACGATTCGATCAATACTTTCGTTGGTCCACTAAGAGAATGTCTCTTATGAGGTGCTAAATGTAGATGCAAGCAATATTCCATTGAATAAAATGGGAAATCAATACATACATAAATATATATAACCAAAAAAACTGTGGAATCAATATATATATATATATATATATAAAAGAAACTTGCCGGGCCTTTATGTGATGGCCCATTGACCTAACTGGGCCTGTCAATCAACATTGATTGAATATAAACAATTAAGAATCATTCAATAATATATATATATATATATTGAACATTTGGAATTTCCCTGTACTAACAATAATTACGATTTTTTTAAAAGTTATTTTATAAAAAAATGTGCATGTTGGTGCTTACTGGAGATGGGTTCTAAATAAAGTTATGGTTTTTGGATACAATTTTATCCAAAGTTTTTATTTTTTCCTCCTAAAGTAATAATATTGGTATTTCAAGAAATTATATGATTAAATTTATTACATTTTTTAGCAATGGATTTTATAACGAAAGTAGAAGTCTAAATCCTAAAAGGAGAAATTCTTGTTGTTATAGGATTTTAGATTTATTATTTTTCTATTTATGATTGCTAATTCAGAATTTTATCTTGTCTTTATTTAAATTAATTTCCAACAAAAATTGCAAAATTCATGCAGTGTTTTTGTTTTTGTGCCATCATTTTTATTTTGTTTCGATTATTTTTTTTTTATAAGTTTCCTATTAGCTCTCTCTCTCTCTCTCTCTCTCTCTCTCTCTCTCTCCCCCCCCTATTAGCCATTTTCACTGATTGTTTGCATACATATTCATCGGCTCTCTGTCTCCTCTCGACGGCGGCGAAGTAGCGCCAAACCCTTCTTTGCTCCTTATATAAACCCTAAATTAGGTTAGATCCTAATTTTTAAGCATGGTTTCTTCTTCAGCCCTTCTCATGTGAAAAATCTTCCCCCCAGCCAACTCAGGTTCTTCACCTTCCGCAGTTTTAGGTAAAATCTCTGGATTACCGTTGTTTTTGCATGTTGTTTCCCCTATTGCGAGTGTTTGTCGAGTGATACTATCTCTTGCTGTATTTTTTTTTCGTGATTCGGATTTGAATCTTTAACTGGGGTTTTCCAGAGGTCTGGATTTTTTTAGCTTTTTAAATTCTGTATTTGGGTGGATAGACATGATAATTTTGGGAATCCAGGAAATTCTGATGGGGTATTCGTGATAGAGTCTGGGATTTCAATCGGCGGATTCGATTTTTTCACTTTTATTTCGGGATTTAGATGCTGAAGCGTGACTTGTAGATGTATCTGATACAGGTTATGACCGATTTCCCTCGTTTTATAGTACTTTTTTCTTCTTCTCATTGAATCCCAGATGCGTGTGGATTTTGTAATCGGTGTCTGTATCATTACGTTGGTGGCTTTATCTTTTTTGTGTTCTTTCTATTCACGTGATTTACATATGTGTGTAGACAATCGATTCATTGTTCTTCGTTCAGTTATATTTGGTTTATATGGTTGAAATTACCACATTGTGTGTTATGGTCTTCAATTAGTCTCCTTTTGTCTGGCTTTCTGTTATTTTTTATGGAATAGTAACTAATGGGGAAGAAAACAAAGAAGAAGGCCCGAGCTCCTCCTACCAGGGAAAAGCGTAATGCTACTCCCTCCAAGAACGTTTCTGAACAACCTAGTCAAAGCGGGGAGACAGCTGGGGATGCTGTTGAAGCAGTGAAGGAGAAGAAAGCTTGTGTCCATTTCGATAAGGGTGTTAAATTGGATAGGGTGTTGGAAAAGATTAAGTCTTCGGAGCATGTCAAGTGCGGAGAATGCAAGGAAGGGGGGCAAGAGAGGAGAGGGAGTAAAGGGAAAGGAAACAGGAGCAAGAAGGGGGTTTCTTCTTCAGTCTCGAAATCTGATAACAAAGCTATTTGGGTGTGTTTGGAATGCGGCCATTATTCTTGTGGTGGCGTTGGATTGCCAACTGGAGCTCAGAGTCATGTGGTCCGGCATATTAGATTGACGCGTCATCGGTTAGTCATGCAATGGGAAAACCCTCAGTTACTATGGTGTTACCCGTGCCATTCGCTTCTTCCTGTTGAAAAGGAAGCGAATGGTGAGAAGAATGATGTGCTAGTGGATGTCATAAAATTGATTAGAGAACGACCGTCAAATGCCTCGAGTGGGGCTGATACTGGAGCTTTGTGTTCAGAAAATGGCAGTGTCACTAGTGGGATTAAATCAGAAAGGGCGGTTTCTAGTGGTGTGGAAGCAAGAGATGGTTATGTCGTACGGGGTTTGGTTAACCTTGGGAATACATGTTTTTTCAATTCTGTAATGCAGAATCTCCTTTCTTTGGATCTGTTACGTGAACACTTCTTGAATGAGGATGCATCTGGTGGAGGACCTCTTATATCTTCCCTGAAGAAATTGTTCGCCGAAACAAAACCTGAAGCGGGTTTGAAGAGCGTGATAAACCCAAGAGCTTTTTTCGGGTCTCTCTGTTGTAAGGCTCCCCAGTTTAGGGGATACCAGCAGCATGATAGCCATGAGTTGCTCCGGTGTTTGCTTGATGGTTTGAGCACCGAAGAATCAAGCTTGAGGAAGAAACTTGGTGCTTCAAACACTGATGGAGATTCCACACATCAGAAACCTACTCTCATAGATACTGTATTTGGGGGTGAGATTTCAAGCACTGTTTCTTGTATTGAATGCGGGCACTCCTCAAAAGTGTATGAACCGTTTTTGGATCTCTCATTACCCGTTCCAGCCAAGAAACCCCCTCCTAAGAAACAGCAAACTGTTTCTCGGGTAAAGAAATCTAAGCTTCCACCAAAAAGGGTCCCCAAGACTCGGGCAAAATTCAGCAAAGATTCAGAATCTGTACCAGCTAATGCTGCATCAGAACATCCAGATAGTAATTCTACAGGAAAAGTTTTGATTGCTGCAGCAGATGATTCAAATGCATCCTCTTCCATTGCTCCAACTTTTCAATCCACTGAAAATGGTCCAGTTTTAGAGGCTCCTAGGGAAATGACCCTGGAGAATATGCAGACCACTAAGATTGCGCCAAAAAATGATACAGAATTTGATTGTTTTTGGTTGGATTTTCTTGAACCAGAAAACAAACAAGATGGGACAGGTTTAGATCTGCAAGATAATGATAAAGCTAGTCCCCAGACAACTGAGGACAATGGAAGTGTTCCAGCGCCAGGGATTCCTTCCCATTCATCAAAAGATCAGAGTTTTGAATGTGGCACAGAGTCGACAACAAGCCATAACGATGGAGGTACAAAACAAGGAGCCACTCAGGATGAGGAGCAACAGGCTACAGGGTCTAATGGAAACACAGTTATAAGTGGGATGCCCACCGAGATGGACTGGACCGATTATGTTGGTGGTGATTCTGGATTAACGCTGAGTAATTCTGTGAATCCTTGGGAGGATGAAGAACTTCCCTTACTGGTTTCAGATTCTCAAGTTCTCTATATGCCGTGTAAAGAAGAAAGTTCATGTACCGATAATACTGTGGTAGAAGCTGAGGCTTCCTCATCTTTTGTGACCCAAGAACAAGACGTAAATTTTGATGGCTTTGGCGGCTTATTTGATGAGCCCGAGACTTCTGAAGGGCCTGTTTCCGGACCTCCATCTAAGACTGAAGACTCTGAAGCCGGTTTCTTGGCTGTTAGCAGTGGTTCTGATCCAGAAGAGATTGATGATTCTGATTCACCAGTGTCTGTGGAGAGATGTTTGACTCATTTTACAAAGCCTGAGATTTTGTCAGACGACAATGCTTGGCATTGTGAGAATTGTTCGAAGACCCTAAAGCTCCAACGCTTGAGAGAAAAGAAGAAAGCTAAAAATGCATCGAGGCTGAAGGACCTCGGAAATGACAGGGAGAGCAACCTATCGAGTCCGAGCTCTGTAAATCTTGAAAACGGCCATAGAACTGCTGCTGGTACAGAATGTTCATGTGCTTCCTATGGGGTCCAGGATCATAAATTCAGTGATAACCCTGTCATTGGAAGAGAAACGATTAATTCTCGGTCAGAAGATGGCAGTGAATCTGAAGATGACGAGGCTGTAGACTCTGAGAAAGTGATAGTAAAGAGGGATGCAACAAAGAGGGTACTTATAAACAAGGTCCCGTCGATTTTGACTGTTCATCTGAAAAGGTTCAGCCAAGATGCTCGTGGCCGGCTAAGTAAGTTGAGCGGGCATGTGGCTTTCAAAGAGTTCATTGATCTTCAACCATATATGGATTCAGCCAGGTATGTCACATTTTCAAAGTCCTTTAAGGTTCTTTGTCTGGACACTGCATCTAAGTATTACTTTAGGTTAAACTTAAACGAACTGGTCTGCACTTCATGTATTTTACACAGAACCCATAAATTACAATCTGTGTTCGAAATCCAATCCCTTGCCAGCCATTAAGATTTGTTCCTTTCTAATCTGGATGGATCAAATCTTAATCTACAGGATTAAACTACAGAAATTGCAGTCCAGGATGAACCTTAACACTTCACCTCAAAAACCTTGTTCTGGTCAGAATATAACCAAAAACATAATCTTGTTTCGGTGTACTTTTCGTTTCACCAGGTGCAACGGAGAAGAGAAACCCGTTTACAGGCTTGCTGGGGTGGTTGAGCACTCGGGAACGATGAGAGGCGGCCATTATGTTGCTTACGTTAGAGGAGGAAACTCGGATAAAGAGAATAATTGCAGCAGCGGATTATCGGTGTGGTATTACATAAGCGATTCATACGTTCGCCAGGTTTCGTTGGAGGAAGTTCTTCGATGCGAGGCTTATCTCGTATTCTATGAAAGAGTTTGAGGAACCCTAAATTCAATTCTTTTTTTTTTTACCATTACAGAAAAAAACAATATTTGATGTTCTTCTCTTTACAGCTTGAGCTGGTGAATCTAAAAGAGAATGAACAAGAAACACAAGCGAGAAATTCACCGAGACACAGAGAGGTGAGTTTTTGATACAAACACAGCTCATAATTTTCATTCTTACTGAGGAAATTTTTGACATGTAACTCAAGATTATAAAAATTTGTACTTTCAGAAACATTCTCGTCTGAAAATTTTGGCTTCTTACCTTCATATGGGTACATTTCATGTCGGAATGCTTTCCATTTTTACTTGCAATTTTCTTCCCTAAACCTTTTGCAAGTAAATGGCATTATGGTCTACCATCGTTGTTTTGCATGATCTGATTCCGTCAAGTTACAATAATGGTCCGAAACCTTGTGGTTTTCCTGCTAAACCGGTAAAAACCGGAAATATAAATCGGTACAATCGACTGGTATTACTTGGTTTAATTTGATACCGGACACAACTTGGGTTGGCGTACGATGTAAATGATATCGCCAGCGAGAAGATACGAATCCTGATTTCGCTTCCAACTCCACAACGCATGCGTCTCGTTCTTCACCTGAAATTCCGAATCCAAAACCGTGTTAGCTTTGTGTATTTCCCAGAAAAAAAAATCGGTTTGTATTGGTAAACCAGAACCGGAATTCAAGCTTAGTTTACTTGTCTTGAACCGAAATTATCTGCCCTCTTAACCGACCCGTAATCTTTTTTAGGCATTTGTCCGTCTAAGCGGCCCTAGGGTTTGCTTGCTTAGGACCCAAGAAATCAACCTGACAAGTTACTTCAACAACATGAAACAGAGTGAGTGATCGACTTACTTCCAACATTCCAAAACCGAAGCTGCTCTCCCTGTAAGCACTATAGTCCGGCTGTCTGTCTGGACATGACGCACCATTTTCAGGCCACGGCATGAAATTCGAGCTGCAGAATCTTTCTCCACAGATCTCGCAAAGCACCGAGCAGTTTCCAGGTCCATCGTCTGCATGCTCAACCTCTAGTTTTCCGCACCCTCCTGCTCCTACAGTCATATAGACGGGCCCGCACGGATCCAATGTGTAGTTGTAAACTCTGTTCGATCTCTCGTAGGCATCGACCTGTTCAGTTTTTCGGGAAAATGATCAGAGAGTTCTTTCCAAGAAGAACAAGAACTGTTCTGTATCTCGTTCCCTGCCAGTTTCTTGAAACAGCAGGAGAGTTTCTTGGAGAGAACTTCGAGAAAATGGCTTGATTCTTGTGATATAACCTTTTGGGTTTTCTTGAAGACAATAGAGAGAGAAAGTTACCTCTCCATTGAAGACAATATCAACTCTGGAGCTGTATAACAAGTCCTCCAGTTGTACCCTCATGCATTCGGCTTCTCTCTGTACCGCTCCTTAAAGGTGCTGTACCAAGGAGCGGTCCAAGCTGCGACGACCCATGGGGTTTCTGACCTGTTTATGTTTTTCAGGTCATTTTCCAGCCATTTGTACTGGTCAGCTTCAGATGAAACACCGGAAAAAATAGAGGAAAGAAAAGTGAGTGAACATGATGATGAAAAGCTGAAAATCAGAAGTCGATATGAGGCGCAGAGATTATGTTACATGGACAGCAAAAAAAGGACAAGAGAAAACTTACAAGCGCTGTCATAGGCCGTGTATGGATTGAGCACTATAAAATGGATTCCACCGGCGTTAAAGGAATAGTACAACGGCGTGAAAGAACAGCTTTCATTTGAAGGGAATATGAATCTCGAACTGAATGCAACGAATGTCTGATTATCAGACTGTGCCTCGATTTCATGCTCTCCTGCTACCAACATTGTTGGAACATTGGCTGTCAATGGCTCCATAAATCTGTCAGAAAAGATATCGGGTTTTAACTCTGCAGTGAAAATTCTCACAAGGGCTATATCCCATAAGTTCACCTCCGGATTTTTCAATCAGCTTTTGAACCAGTAACAGAGAACTTATTTTAAGGTTGCGCCTTTTCCTTGAACAATCATCTAAAAGAGTACCTTCCCCAATAATCCCAACGAGGCTGATAACCGAGTTCTTGACCATAACTGAGTTCTGAACAGGTTACGTTTCGGTTGTGATGACAAGAACTGCAACCTAGCTTAGTTCCATTTGTTATGTATGTATCTGCATAGCTGAATCCTCCAACCAAAAGCACAAGATCAGGATGATTTGGCAATATATGACCCCAAGTATCCGACGTATTGTAAGTAAGACCCAAGCTTCCTGCCACTACTATTCTGCTCGGGTAATCCTTGGATGTGGACTCTGGCATTGTCCTGAAGTAATAGACAGCACTCATCGCTGACAAAGACGGGTCTCCACATCGGTATTGATAGAGTGTCTTAGGTTTAAGACCTGCAGATAGATCAATGAACCTTATCCTTGTTTATCTTTCTGAATCTGAAAACGTTTCAATTTCTCCATATCTGAAACATCTGGAAACATATACATACATATATATCTCTCTGGGAAAAACAAGAAACACACATCAAGAATCCAGCTACATGATTTCTGACACAGGATCTCAAACCTTTCCTGAGACATCGTTCCAGACATCTTTTGCTGTGAAGAGATAACTACTCTAAAACAGTTAAAGCTCCATGTCGGAGCACCACAAATCTGAAACAGTAATAATATGAACAATATACCTGAAGGGGAGGAGATCATATAGGTACCTGTGAGTTGGACATGGTGGATGATGCCTGATGCATAGTTATAGAGGCTTTGGGAAGGGTCATGTTGGTCGTAAACAGTGGAATATCCTGTCTCATTTTTGTCTTCACATCCATCAGATTCTCTGTAATGGACTATGCTCTGTACTGAGTCAGGATCCATTGGCAATGTCTCTTCACCAATTTGGAACTCCCCTGCAAATATGTTCTTATTTAGAAAATATCTGAAAAAGCTTCTGAAGAACATCAAAGGAAACAGCTAAGTTCCTTACATACTGAATCTTTCAAGACAGATATCAAAGCTATTGGACAGTTTGTAAAAAAAAACCCATAATTTACATTTTGAAAAAAAATAGATCTTGCTTGGGTTTATTCCAAAGTTTTCATAATAATAACAAAAGCTGATACAATTTCGAATACAAAACATGATCGTTGACAGCTTAAACGGGTCTTCCATATGTAAAACATAAACATAGTAAGAGATATACACTGATAATCTGTAATCACTGATTTTATCAAAATATAAAATTACCTACGAAATTTAAAAATTCACAGGTTTATTTAAAAATTAAAATTCATATATTGACGTGAAATAAATAACTAGTTAATGAGTTCTTATGGATTCACTCATTTGGGAAAAAGAGAGAGAGAGAGAGAGACCAAGAAACAAGACCTGTGACCCAAGAGATCCAGACAGAGTCATAGTTGTAGGAGAGAGAGACTGAGATCTGTTGGGGCTGAAATTTCGGGTCGGGTCTCTCGAAACTCGGGTCGGATTCGGGCAAGTCGGTCGCAACCGGGTTGAGCTTCGGGTCGAGTGGTGCGGTCACCGGCTTCGACGGCCCTTCCGCCGTCGTCGGGAAACCATGAACGACGAATGAGGATGCCAAAATGACCAAAACGGCCATCGGTTTTGCACATTTTTTCGAACATGCCCTCCTCATATATAAAGATTGATCCCGTACCTAGAGTGGATATAGTCGGATCCTGGTTATAAAAAAAAATGCAATATACGAAATAGTAAAATAACATATTGAAAATGAAACTAAATACTATATGAACATAAACTAGCATACATTTCCATGATTAAAAGCTACACAAAAGGTCCTAGATTACAAAAAATAATTATTTTCTTTAGCAATACCGATGTTATATAAACCTAAATCTAAATTTAAACAAAAAAATCAGAATAATATATAATTTTTTAATGATTATATAAACGTGACTAAAGAGTTCTACAAACATTGCACAATCATAAAATATATCCGAAACGTACACAAGCTAAATGATAATAAGATAGACTAATTAGATTAGTACGATGTAATATATGTAAATATTACAAATCCGATATAAGGTTTAATAAAAAAACCGAACATTACAAAGTTCTTGTTTTGATTGGTGGGGTGGGGATCAAGCTGAAGGGTAAAAGCCACCACCAGGCTGCTCCATGAAGGCATCGATCTGATCATTTTCTTCCATCATTAGCTAAAAAAAAGCAAAGAGTAAATGAAGAACGATTAATGATCATAGTGATGATGATGTAATGTTTCCAAAAATAGAACAATCTTTTATTGTTCTTATCATGGCTAGAGAAATTCCCTAAAACCTACTTTACTTTTAATATATTAATGGAAAAAACAGAACTAATTTTGTAATAAATGAAAAGAGAGAATAAAAGTACCTTAGCTGGAGTCTGCTTGGCATTGAGCAAGTGGCGCTTATAGATGAATCTGACGGTCCTGTGATCCAAGTTTCTGTTGCCACAGTAGTACATGAACAGCTTCTTCAACGGCGCATCCATCGACACTTTGTACATGTTCGTGTTCCCATCCTGCATCAAGATAACATATACCAAGTGTCTCATGAAAACGTTTTGAAGAAACCAACTGATATATATATGATGGTGTTCTTCCTCAGTACATCAGACGGGTAGCAGAAAAAGAAAAGAGCTTTCAGATCCATGAAAGTAGGGTGATTTTCAAGTGGAAGACAGTATTTTTATGAGAGGGAGAGAGAGAGAGAGAGAAACCTGGCCCTTGATCATGAGAGTGACCTTGGGAGCAGATGAAGAAGAAGCCCTAGGCCTCTTTGGTGCAGATGACTGAGTAGTGGAGCTTGTCATTTTTTTTTTCCTGTGGACAACAACCAACAGAAGAGGCACAAAGGGCTGGCCAAACACCTTTCTTTTATAGTTAAAAAGATTGTGAGGAAGAAGATGAACCTTTCCTTTGTAAAGTGGCCCCTTTTAAGTGCTCTCCAATTCTCAAAGAAGAATACATGTACAGTACACATATACATGTACATATACGTACATGCGAATACAGGGTCTTAGATATCTGGAGACGGACCAATAGCAATTGCAAGAGTTTTAAAAATTCTGTTGTGTTTGACCGAAAGTACAAGGATCAACATCAGGTCTGAATCTGACACGGGGCGGGCCCCAATACCCAGCCTTTGTTCAAGAGTATCTCAATGCCATCCTTTGAAAACGTTCCTGCATTCAGCCCTTTATATACTTACACACAACCTACTGATATACCAAAACGATTGAATGAAACTAAAACCAAAATTGTACCTATAAACCACAGCACAATCACGTGGGACCAAAAAAAAAGAAAAGAAGACAAAACCCAACGACACAAAATCATCACGATAAAGCATAATGTGGGAATGGACAAAAAATTACACAAAATAGAGGACATGAAACCCAGAAAACAAATACTACATTGTCGTCTTATTTGTAGCTTCGGTTTACCCTTTTTTTTGTTTAACCTGTGGCATAAAAAACTTCAAGACCTCTCTCCTCATACGATCAAATATCTCCAATGACCCAAACGAATTTTTCAGCCTACAAATTCTTGCCTTCTGAAAGTTGTGACACTAAAGGCTTTTTTTTAATCTACAAATTTTCAAAATGGAAAGTAATAAAGTATTACCTGGGTAGAAGAGACTTAACAAGAAGCAACATGCCTAACAAAAAAGAGTGAATTGCAGCGGTGTGAGAAGGAAGAGTAGAGGAGGAAGAGTAGAGGAGAGTGTTGGACGCTGGATGGTACGGATGAGCTCCTTTAGGTTTGACAGCACCTGCCGAGGTCCTATGCTACCCGCCCAAACGTAATTCAGCAGCTGCTTGATGTTCTGCAATATTATGATGCCCATGGTGGGGAAAAAAAGAAGCAATTTTTAGATGATTTCTGAAAGGAAAGCGAAATGATCCATATTCCTGCAACTGCAATCGACAAGTATGATCATTTCAAGAGAGTTTTTGCGGGATAATTGAAAATAGACTATTACTAGTAATCCAGCGAGACATAAAGGCGATATCTTGCAAAATGCCCCTACTAAGAAATCCGGAAATCAAATAGCACAAACTTGGCTTGATGGAGATGGTCTCATTGTTGTTCAAGAAAATGTCTCAGAGGAACAACATTGAGAAAGTAGAACTAACCTTGCTCAACAAGAAGACGGCGTAGGCATTTCGGGTTGTATCCAGAAACAGAGGGAACTCTACAAAATTTTGATTTTTAGAAACTGTGGTTATCGGGGGCATGTCAGATGATGAAGGTCCGATATATGGTGTGTAGTCCCGAATATAAGATTTGGAACCACCAAGGCACAAAGGGTAACGGAGTGGAACTATCATGTAGGATGCTATTAGCGACACAGCCTGCAAAAGACAAAAAAGGAAGCCTTTGAGCAACCTTTGTATGAGATTGAAGATTTTCAATCTAAATTAAATAAGATGCTACACTTTTCTAGCGTTAGCAGTTTATGCTCAAAAATAAAATCAAAGAGATTTAAGGCCAATCCAACAAGTTTCAAAGAAAGTTTTACTGTCGGTGAGTAGCGGACAGAAAGGAACACACGTGGGCAACGTATCCTAGGGCAGTTGCAGACCTCTGGACCTCCTTCTTGTCAGTGAAGAAACTCATCTTTGTAAATGGAGCCATACTGAAAGGTAATTCTAAAATTGTCACGGATCCTTGACTCACAGGTTTAGTTCCTGGTAAAACCATTGATAAGAGCGAGTCAACAGATAGTCTGCCAAGAGGGAGAACTTTCTTCAGGAGGTTACCAACCTAATCTACTGCCACCTGGAAATGATTCGAGTTCTTGGTGTTGGTAAGGTCCAGCCTCAATCTTCAATGGATAGATAGACGACACTTGTGTTATCATGTATCGTTGCCTCTTTACCAGCTTACTTGTCACAACTTTCAACCGAGCATAGTCTTTTTCTCCTTCTAGTTTCCAGCTTGACTCCTGTGAAAAAGAAACACAAGCTACATTTGAGTCCCTACTCTTTGATAACCAACCCATAGATTGTGAGCCTTGAGGAGGAAGGGCATATTGAAGCAAATCAGTTGTCTTCATCAAGGCATCTATCTTCCAACCAGTCGTTGATTAAGGAGTAAAAAAACAATCGATTGAAAGAAAAATTCAACCGCGAAATGCAGATAGAAAGCAAAGTGCGTCAGTCTAGAAGATGAGGATAATATTGTAACAAATCAGCTGCCTTAATTAAAACTCAAACTTCAAATCAGTTGTTCACTAGAGAGCTAAAAAACAGTTGGCCGAAGAAAAAAATCCAATCTTGAAATGAAGAAGAATGCAAATGTGCGACTCTGAAAAAACAGGGGCGAACAGGCGAACCAAAAACTTGCAGCAAACAGAATCATGTCAAAAAAAATATTGGTTCACTACATTAAAGCATCAAATGAGGTAATACCTGTAGTTTACTTTTAGCAACCGAAAGTGATGTTCCCCCAACCAACAAAGATTTCACTTCTCTACCGAGATTCTCCTCTTTCTTTACAACATCCCGTTCAGCTTGCATAAGTATAGGTAAGACAAAACAATCAAGACTTTCTTTTTTTTCAGAACCCCAACCTTGCAACCTATTGATGCCTTTCCCACCATCAATTTTCTACCTTCCAACCTCTGCCGCATTTCTTCAAGTTCATTAGTGTGTCTCAATGACTCGGAATTGACCTGCCCAAAATTTTGCCACTCGCTAATCCGCAGGCTAATCAATTAAAGCTCATTGAGATAAAATAAGATATATCCAAAGGATAGGGCATATGCCATGATAGAGCAAATACCATGAATCATCGGGATTATGTTTCCAAGTCGTAAGCTTTGATCCCCTAAACCATTAACTTCACTTCATGAGCAAAGGGAAGCCATGTAAATACCTGAATGAGAGACTCAAGCTTCTGCTGCAGGCTTTGCTTCCTCTCTTGGGCTTCTCTCAGAGCGGAAGACTCCATAGCCGCGTGAGTTCGTGGTGGAAATCTTCCCACTCGATCTTATTCTCGTCTTCCTTCTCTCCTCTCTTCGAAATCGCCGACAAACTTCGCCCCGTTTCTCCTTCCATCAACAATTGTATCGGAAACTATTAAGTGCGAGTTCGGGCATCAACGTTCTAAAGATCCGATCAGTTCGCGTCTTGTTTCAAATGAAATAATTTTAAAACAACGCGCGAAGAGGAACAAGAGATGGATCTTCATGGCACAAAAATCTACCAGATACTATGGACGGTTCTGCAGCTGATCCTACCCCTGAATCCGATCCAGATGAGTTCCATTATCGCAGAATTGCAAGCTTCGTTCTTGAGAGAGAGAGCGCTCCGGGTCGGGACTTCCCGTACTTTTCTAACGGGCGAGTATTTTCTAAAGAACGAGCTGAGCAATATGGACCGTCCGATCCCCGATGGGTGCGATCTTACGGCACGCATAATCGCAACCTTACTTTTTCATTACCGAACCAGGCTTTCGTACCGAAGCTTAACCGACAACATCGACTCACATTCAAATTCAAATTCGCTATTTCGTTCTTAAATATAATGCCTAATTGATTTTTATTAGGATTTTATTTTATACTTATAACGAAATTTAACTTTGGATAAGTCGTTTAAAGATATTCTCGGATGTATAATTTGGGTATACTCTTTGATGATCTGATCCCCCATAAACCGGTAACCAGATTGAAAACCGGGGTGCTCGATCTCAAAACCGGGAACGACTGAACCGGCCCGACGTCTTCCCCTCTCGGGACGGACACCGACCACTATAAAGGAAGGGAGTGCCCGTCAAGCGAGTCGATCTCGCCGGATATCAGATCGGGATACTTTAGTGGCTATGGCGGGGGTTTCGTTGAAGTGTGGAGACTGTGGAGCGCTGTTGAAATCGGTAGAGGAAGCGCAGGAGCATGCAGAACTCACATCTCACTCGAATTTCGCCGAGTCGACGGAAGCCGTGCTTAACCTCGTCTGCACGACTTGTGGCAAGCCTTGCCGCTCTAAAACCGTACGGGTCCTCTTGCGATTTGCTCTAATTTTTGTCCTAGTGAACACATGCCGATTTCATTTGGGGTTTATCTTGGGATTAGGAGGGAGAGTGAGTTGCTTCTTAATATCTGGATATCTTCAGAAGGCTCTTGTAGCTAGTGGACTCGGAAATGTATGTATTAAATTGGGCGATTTCATGGTTTGATGGGTTTTGAAGTGAAGCAGAGCTTTTTCAAGTGTCTCCATGGGGGCGGATCTTGGATAGTTCTAACTGTTTCTTTGCAGTGTGAATTCATTAACGGGTATTACGATTTGGGTGATCCGATGTGAAAAAGAGCCTTTTATTCGATGATCAGGGATTAGGAGATATCATCGGAAATGAATTGTTTTTTATGATTGAAATTGTTGACTTCTGACTTTGTTCTTGATTAACCGATAAAGGAAAGTGATTTACATACGAAAAGAACGGGGCACACTGAGTTCGTAGATAAGACAATGGAGGCAACAAAGCCCATCAGCTTAGAAGCTCCCAAGGTAGCTATGGAGACTGATGAAGCTGATGATGCGAGTGGTAGTGGTCAGCCAGCAGAAGGTAGAATGTCATGTTGGCAATTGTATGTATTGCAAAAGTTTATAGTTTTGATTTCAAAATTGTAGTTATTTTGTAAACTTTACCTCTCTTGCAGAGATGATTGTTCCAGAAGTTGACAAAAAATTGCTTGAGGAACTTGAGGCGATGGGATTCCCAACAGCACGAGCTACCCGGGCACTCCACTACTCTGGTAGGAAACTCGATGGTCAACATATTTTTCTCTTCAATCACTTTTGGTCCTGGTTTGGTGTTTGGTGTTGGTTGAAACTTTACTCGAGTTAGCTGGCACTTCTCTAGTCCAAGAACTGATTGACATGTAATACAGAGTTCATATGTACAATAGCTCAGTAAATTATGGCCACTCAGCGGCTAACAGATTATGGAAACCTGGTTGGCACTTTTCTTTCAAAAGTTTGTGACAGGTTATATGTGTCATTTTTTTGGGGATAGGCTGTCTGTGTTAATTTTTTGTGTTGGAATGCGTGTTCTGCTTTTAATGATCAACCGCTGTTTCTGAATCCTCGTATCATTATATATTAGGTACTATGTTGCTTCATTTTTGGTTTCTCAACTTTGATTTCTTTCCTTCAGGTAATGCTAGTCTTGAGGCTGCAGTTAATTGGGTGGTGGAGCATGAAAATGATGCCGACATAGATGAGATGCCAAAGGTGAGTCTCGAGTTTAGTTTGTGTTTCAGCAAAATACGTTTCTTTTGCACCTTTTTTTTGCCATAGAATTGCGTCTCCTTGCAATATTTTTGTCGTTCAGCGTTCAGTTCCTGTCTCAGCCTGCAAAGCATCTTTTTATTTTGTGTGTGTGTGTGTCAAATTTGCTAGTATAAGGTTATTTGCTTCCGTTAAAGCCTTGCACATACTTTTGTCCTGCAACTATGTATAATGTTGGTTTGGGCACAGCATTAGACAAAGTTGGGAATGTATGTAGTTTCTGAATTACTTAATCGCTTAAATTAATGCAACATGTCTCTCTTGTGATTAACTGTTTGCCTAGGTACCTGCCAACACAAAATTCGAAGCACCTAAACCTACTCTTACACCAGACGAAGTGAAGGCGAAAGCACAAGAATTAAGGTTTGATGAGCATTTTGCTGTGTGTTTCATGCATATATTCATTTGTAGTGTTTACTGATCATCTTACACATCATTCATATGACCTTATAGTTAGATTTGCAATACATTCTCATGTTCAGATTATAAATCAGCAAATACTAACTTTGGAGATTGGTTATTTACTATTAGAAGTTTATATTCCATTTGTTTTACAACTTAGGGAACGTGCTCGGAAGAAGAAAGAAGAGGAAGAGAAGCATACGGAAAGAGAGAGAGAAAAGGTTATCTATGCATTCTTGTTTAAAATATGATTGTTTCTAGGTATTCTAACTGTTCTGTTAGTCTTGTAGCAAAGAACTACACTGAATCATTATGCCATTGTTGTTTTACCTTTGCTGGTTTTATGTAGACCAGAGCCCTTAACTTCTGTCAGTTGGTGTGATGTGGTAAATTGAACTTGTTGAAGTTGTCACGCAACTCTACGTAAAATATTGACAACTAGGCCTTTGTATTCGTAGTATTATATCAAGGATGTGCATATAGTGTGAGTTCATAGGGATCTAATTACATGCTCTGCATTTATAATATCATCATTTAGCACTTTTTCATCCTCTAACATGATATTAGTATATGGTTTTAGGAGAGAATTAGGATAGGCAAGGAACTCTTAGAAGCGAAGCGAATTGAAGAGGAAAACGAAAGAAAGCGGTTGGTTTCTCCAATTTAATCAGTTCCATTTAGTAACTTTCTTTTTCTTTATTAATTCTTTCATATTGGTGTACTCGTCTATAATCTATATTCAGCATTTTCGCCTTGCGTAAAGCGGAGAAAGAAGAGGAAAGAAAGGCTAGGGAAAAGATTCGTCAAAAACTGGAAGAAGACAAGGTCTGAACTGAATATTTCCTTCCATCTCATTTGGTTTTAATCATTTTTTTTTTCAAATTATATTTGTACCTTTCCATTCCAAATTGCTCTATTTCATCTGAACCTTTAGAATCATTTCGATATATTGAAACAGGCTGAAAGACGTCGGAGACTTGGCTTGCCACCCGAAGATCCTGCCACTGCAAAACCCTCGACATCAGTTGTGGAAGAGAAAAAGGTAAACGAGTGTTTAAAACTGTATTATCAATGTTCAACTTCTGTATTCCTCTGGGTGCTCCCTGAAAGAAGATCGTGTTACGCAGACTTCATTGCCTGTCAGACCTGCGACGAAGGCAGAACAGATGCGTGAGTGTTTGAGGTCGCTTAAGCAAAACCACAAGGTAAATGACCCATTACCCGGTGCTATTTTCCTGCCAATGGACAAACCAATGGTAGCGAAAAATCTCGTTAGTGTGGTAGCGACAAATATCGTTAGTGTGTTTGAGGTCGGTTCTTGGATTGTGTTATTACCTTCATGGCCTATCCATAATCATATCTTTTTGAAAAATAAGTGACACAATATCATTCTTTGATAACTTCAAAATAATTCCTCCTCTAGTTGCCAGTTGCCACCTACTGTTCTTTCTCTCTCCCTGTCTTCTCAAATCAGTGTCATCTGAGATTAGTGAACTGTCTATCTAACTAACGCCATGTGTTTGTGGATCAGGATGATGATGCAAAAGTCAAGAGAGCGTTCCAGACTCTACTGGCGTACATAGGCAACGTCGCTCGAAGTCCTGATGAGGAGAAATTCCGGAAAATTAGACTCACCAACCAAGCTTTCCAGGTACAATCACTTACCCACGAATCTCTACTCTCCATTTCCATGTCTAGTTTTAGCTGCTCTATACACTGTGCTCTCTCTTTCCATGATGAGGAATGCTTAGGCACTTTCGCATTGCTTTCATAAAATGAACAGGATAGGGTGGGTTCCATGAAAGGAGGCATCGAGTTTTTAGAGATTTGCGGGTTTGAGAGAACAGAAGGAGGAGAGTTCTTGTTCCTAGCACGGGAAAAGGTCGAGATGGCGGTTCTGAACTCAGCAGGGTCGGAGCTCAACTCTGCCATCAACAACCCTTTCTTCGGGGTTCTTTGAAGCTGAAGGAAACACATATTATTACGGTTTTTTGTTGGATTTTATGGATGAAATGAAACCCATCGTTTTGGTTATTATATCATAAGACTTTTGTTGGTAACAACAAAGTTCATTCATTTCATGGTTTTGTTCCTTGAGTTGGAAGTCTTTATCATTTGTAGTGATGCATGAAAGATGACATGCAATAGCTTTGTCCTATGGTAGGTGTGGATGCCATGGTTTTTATGTATGGTCCAATGTTATATATACACACACACATATACATACATAACAAATGTCACATGTTTCTGGTTTCATGGTTAAAGCTTTTCAATTTTGATATGGAAGCTTATGAAATGATTGACAAGATATTTAGAAATAGGGTTCTCTTGAATTATTGAAGCCAACTAAACACATGGTTTTTTTCTTTTCTTTTAAAAAAAAAAAACAGAACATCATATAGAACAAATGCCACAGGCTAAAGTCCTCCGGGGTCCATTACTATTGAAAATTATGGCTTTATATTTATTTATTTCTTTAAAAAAACTTGATAAAGAAAAATAAAAAATGATAAATATTCGATTTGAATATTAATATTAAAAACGTTATATCCGATTTTGGTTCCGTTACATGCAAATACACAAAAATCAAAACGAATAGCATTACGCAATCGTTATATTTTTGTACATGAGTATCGACTTTACCCATTTTACAATAAATTCTCTCTTCATTTTGTTTGTGTTATATAGGTGGAGAATGATTTCTTGTGAAACCAATATATATTCCATTGATTAGGACACGTACTCAATTTGAACACTACTTTATTAATGAAACCCGCAAAAAAAATTCCCGAGATTTTCGAAATATAGTGAATAATTATTTACATAATGATTTATGAAACCTTTTAAATTATTGGTTATAGTCAGTGATTAACATATAAATTGCTAGTTAGCACCGTGGCGAGAAAAAATGTTACAGAAAAAACATTGAGGGTTAAATTTGAGAGAGTTGATAATATTGGGTCTATTTTGAAAATTCATGTTCGGCAACTTTTCTCACGCGGTCTTTGAGGGAAAAAAAAGAGGTAGAAATAGAAACGAACTTCCATAATCTGACAGATTCTCTCTTTCTCTGCGACTTCTCTAAAGTTCGGAATTGGGGTCTCTTCGGATCGATCAAACCCTAGAGAATGGTGAAGAAGAAGGTCCCGGAGTGGCTAAACAGCACCATGTGGGCCGCTCCTCCTCCCCATGCCGTCGACGACCGCCTCCTCCGTAATTCCTCCGCCATCACCATCTTACCAGCGAAGACGGAGCCACCGCTTGCCTCCGTCGCCGCTAAGCATGATCCTTCTCCTCCTCCGGCCTCCCCGGCTCCATCTCCTTCGCCTAGTTATTCTCGAAACGGCAACAATGTCTCCGGCGGTGATGGGGAAAATGGCGCCTCCGTTGGGCTCTCCCCCGAGGAGATTTCCCGCCAGGCCCAGCTCGCGTCGGAGGTCAATACCATCTTAGAAAATTCATATCTTGTTTGCTTTTTTTGAGTCAGTTAGCTTACTTTTCCGATTGTTCCCTCCTGTTGGTTGGATTTGGTGTTCGTAGTTATCGAAGAAGGTGATCAATTTGAAAGAAATTAGAAGTATGGCATTGCAAAGTCTCCCAGATGCTCCTGGGATTCGCTCGACTGTCTGGAAGGTAGATATTCCAAGTTCGATTATTTTAATATTTTTGTTCTGAAGAGAAAATCGTTTTACGATATCTCCTTTTTATAATACCATAATTTTTCGATGCATTCGCAAAAGATGAATTAGATTTGATCAATGAGAAACTTTTTCCCTTTAAACGGATGAATGAATCCAAATGAGAGAGAGATTCACTCTCTTTGTTATGGTGTAATGAACTTAATTCCTATAGGTCTCACAGTGCTTTGGGCCATTTTTTTTAGGCTGGGAAGTTTTTGATTCTGCTCTGAACTGTAATTTGATCAGGAGAATGTATACAACTATGAGCTCCGTTAATCTATGCACCTGATTTGATTTCCTTTGACAGCTTTTGCTTGGTTACCTTCCGTCTGAACGTTCCCTTTGGTTGTCTGAATTGGCTAAGAAGAGGTCGCAATACAAACACTACAAGGAGGAGCTTCTAATGAGTCCTGTAAGTGATGCTGGTGGTATTAGTTTATTTAATAACCTGCAGCTATTCTTATCCACTCCACAAGTTTAGTATATACTACTTGTGTATAGCCTGTTAGACTTTGTTTTTTTGTGTTTATCCTTGGAACTTGTCTGAAGGGGATCCTTGTCGCACCGGTTAAGGTGTTGCCGTTGTGACCTTGAGTTCACGGGTTCGAGTTCTGGAAGCAGCCTCTTGCAGATATTTCTGCAAGGTAAGGTTTGCCTACAATACACCCTTGTGGTGGGACCCTTCCCCGGAGCGCCGCTCAACGGGGACGTTTTGTGCACTGGGCTGCCCTTTTATCCTTGGAACTTGTCTCATGTTCTTTAAGTGTATTGAACGTCTGAATGATTCTGTGGTAGTTAGTCAGAAATCACACGGAGATTGGCAAAGTCTAAGGGCTGTGACAATGATGAGTTGAAGAGGGAAAGCAGATGCATGCTTGTCAGATCAAAGATAACTGATGAGGATCATCCGTTAAGCCTTGGCCAAGCAAGCATCTGGAATAAGTACTTCCAGGTATGATATCTCACATACTTGGACTAGAACATGTTATATGTACATTGTACCATTTTTCAGCACTGCCATGACGTAATACACGATGACTGAGTTTTCTTTTACTCCTCCACTTTCCTACTAAGTAGCTTAACAAGTTCTAGAGATATAGCGCGGGAAAATCCTAGTTTGGTCAAGACAGAGTTTATGGTTTTACAGGTTTCGTAACCTGATGAAACCATTCTGAGTATATTCCTGTATGTGGGTACAAACACAGGACCAGATACTCGTTTTTTAGTGATCTTTTAGAAGGATCCTAGCTAAATCTTTAAGCACTCACTCAAACATTTCTTGCATTTCTGTAGGACAGTGATATTATAGAACAGATCCATCGAGATGTCAAACGCACGCATCCAGACATGCCCTTTTTCTCCAATGAATCATCATTGGGACAATCTAATCAGGTACTCGTTTTTCACTCCATGGACTTGTCTTCTTGATATATATTTGATTAATCGCGTTGACTGACGTGTTCACCACATTAACAGGAATCCATGAAGAATATATTAATGGTGTTTGCAAAGTTAAATCCAGGCATCAGATATGTTCAAGGGATGAACGAAATTTTGGCACCTCTTTTCTATGTTTTCCGTAATGACCCTGATGAAGATAATTCAGTAAGTAGACTCTTTTTGTTTATTTTTGTTCTATAGATTTTATTTTTGTTAATGGGCAGGCATATATAGTCTAGAATATATCACTACCATTCTCGATCTTAAGGATTTCACATATTACTGCTTCGTATTAGCACCTGCTGTCCAGCATCTTTTAATGGAACATCACCAAGATCTTTTACTGTACATATACTGGATGCATAATAGCATAGATTACAAAGATATGTAGCTATATCATACCCTGTAGAGATAAGCATTCGAAAGTTTTGCCAGATCTGTGTGAGAAGACTGGGTCTTGCACGATCTTTGTTCTTCCACATTGTTCTATTTCTTATCAAGAGTTTTAAAGTTTCTTAATAATTCTATTCAAGCTTTGCAGGCCCATGCTGAATCAGATACGTTCTTCTGCTTTGTTGAACTCTTGAGTGGATTTCGAGATTTCTACTGCCAACAGCTGGACAATAGTGTTATGGGAATCCGATCCGCAATCACAAGGTTGTCACAGATTTTGAAGGAGCATGATGATGAACTTTGGCGTCATCTAGAGATCACAACAAAAGTATAGATTCTTTTTTTTTTAAGTATCCGGTATCAAATTTGTTCATATTCCATGCGATTGGCCTTAAAAACTTGTGTTGGGTGCAGGTAAATCCTCAGTTTTATGCATTCAGGTGGATTACTCTCCTCCTAACGCAAGAATTCGGTTTCTTTGACATTCTTCATATATGGGATGCCCTCTTAAGCGACCCTGAAGGTCCTCAGGTTAGATTTTAATGTTCCTCCCATAGTTTACAGCTTAAGAATAAGGAATCATCCACAAATATGGTCCTCAGTTCAGAACTCTGCTTTTGTTATGTTGGTCTTAAAAAGTAGAAAACATGCACTTCTCCCGCGCTTAAAATCGTCAGATCCATCTCAGATGGTATTGGCATGAACATGGATCGACTGTTTCGAGGAGAGAAGCTCGTAAAAACATTGCATGGATAGAAAGTTGGCTAAGCTTCAGATTTCAGAACCATATACTTTCAAGTGTTGGGCTATGAAACTAAACTGATGGATTCTGAGAAACAAGTGGTTGTGTAATAGACTCTCCATCATTGGTTCTTTCTTTTTTGGCAATGGGTTTTCTGTGGCAGGAGACGCTGTTGAGGATATGTTGCGGAATGCTGATTCTGGTAAGGAGAAGGCTCGTCGCTGGGGATTTCACCTCTAACCTGACGCTCCTCCAGCACTATCCCACTTCCAGCATTCCCCATCTCTTGTACGTTTCCAACCAATTACGTTCCAACATTTTAGTCTGATCTTTTTGTTAAACCCATTTCCTTTACTTTCTTTTTTTTTCCAAATTTGAAATTCGTGAGTGTATATATAATATGTCAGATCGTTGAGTTTGTTCGATGGTCTTACAGCTATCACCGTGAGAGAGTAAAGAAAAAAAATGAGATGAAAGTGTACGTAAAAATCGTATCTTTGGGATTAAGGGTAAATATGGAAATACATGGGTTTTTTTTTTTCTTCTCTCGGACACGTTCCTGTCCCATTGCGAATATAACTAAACACCTCTCTATTTCAAGAAACGCGAATAAAAAAGAACACGGAAAAATTGTATGAGAGCTCGTGATCTAACCAGATGAACCGCCGACACAATTTTGAGACGGTCACCACTACCACGTCTTCGGCTCTTTGTCGCCGAGCGATCATGAAGCCGGAGCCTTTTGGTTAGATCCTCTCTCTCTCATCTTCCTGATTCGGTCACCGTTGAATTTGCCTGAGACAATGAATCTCTGTTGTCATCAGTTCTTACGCCATCTAACCGGCTGCTTAGAATCTCCATGACATCATCTGGCGGACATTTATCAGCCGGGCTCCTCGGGTTTGTCTGGCAGAAGCATTCCGGCCATGAATTTGTATAAAACGACTCGGGAGGTATACGTTTGTGAGGCCCCCCGAAATTTGTTTTCAGCATGACCCGCCTCACCGCTTCTTCGAATCCAGCCCTTTTCCCCTTCTCTCTATCGATGAAAACCGGAGCTAGAGCTTTTCTGTCGGGCCTTACTGTAGTACGGAACCCGTAGTAAAGCCTGTGACCGAGGAGATTGTTGGCAAAGTTGCTCGGTCCATCATACGTTGGCATGAAGATGTCGGAGAGAAGACAGACCATGTAATCCACAGCTGATCCTATTAAGCCTCGTGTGTTTGCTGACAGCTCCTCTGACGGGTCCACTGAGCTGTGGTTATCGAGCCGAGGGAATAAGGTTCGGAATGGTTTCATAAATCGCTCCCCACCGAAAAGTTCTCCAGCTGCTAGGTATATCCTTGTGGAATTGTCGAAACCCATTGCCCGTAATATAAGACCTACCTGAAACGCAAAGAAAGAGAAAGTAAAATGTCAACACACCAAGTGTTAATTTCTAAATCCAACTTAAGCTGTACAGAGGTTGGCATAATCCTATATTCCTAATCTTGCTGATCAGCAACTTAAGGGATCACCTCCTCTGGAGTCAGCGGACACTTCCCGATGGCCCGTCTTTCGTTGTAAACAAGCCTTTTCTCTGCAAAATTTTCTTTACGATACTTCCTAAGTATTTTCTGCTCTCCAGGGTTGAATATGTCAAAGCACCTGCAGAAATGGCGAAATGAAACATTGTTCCCGTGTATGCTGATGTGCTTATAAGGCTGTGCGAAGACAACCAACTACTTCTGCAAGTGCTTTGGCGCAACTTGCTTAATGGGTAAGCCCAGAAAATGGTACCTACACCTATGTGGGTGGGATAGAGATAGTACCACGAGAACTTACCCAGCAAAGGCCAACATATCCATTTCAAAACGAAGGTGAATTGACATGAAGTGACCCTGTGAGCGGAGTTTGTCAATGATTGATTCGCTCAACTTCATGATGTGCGGCTTGAATCTCAAAGCATGGTAGTTGACTCTGCATCTTAATCGTTGATATTCTGGATAGTCAATTTCTTCAGCCAGCCGATGCGAAAAAGGCGTGAGATATATAGCGCCATGTTCCTTCATTGCCTTAAGAGCAGTTGTCAGGTACCATTCAATAGGAGCGTCTCGAGGGGGACGGATCTGAAATGGTGAAAAATGAGGACGGAGGTGAAATGGTGAAAAATGAATCAAGAGCACAAGCATATCAAAAAGCAACCATCGGTTGCGCTTCTACCTGAAAAGCTTTTATCTTCTTGGTTTTCCCATTTTTGTGAACTTCAGGGATCTTTTCCACAATCCTTACATCATACTTCAGTGTCTCAAGAAAATGTTCAACATCATAGATACCTTGGAAACCACTGCATATTTGACAATTCTATAAACATAATGATTTGCAGAAGCAATCAGTTTGGAACAAAAAGAAACATCGATAAAGAAACAAAGACAGATATAATGAGGGCAAGCAAGACAGAGGAAACACCTATAGTCAAAGCAGATAAAGTTATCGTCTATTTTCTAAGAGCAAAGTGATACAGATCAATGCATAAAGCAAAAGATATGGATGCTCGATAACCCCAACAATCCTATTATAACCCGGGAATGCATATTCCTTAAAACAGATTTACTTATCTTGAAACCTTCAGTCTTATAATAAGGAGCATTTAATATTTCTTTGCAATTGACCAACAGAGATGGAAACAAAGGATAATTGGACAAATTAGGGAAGAAAATAGGAAGAAAAAACAAAATACCTGTCATCATGCCAAAAGGAGTTCGCATCCAACTCAGGCAGCACAAGTGTAGCATTCATGATTCGCGCAGCAAGGACTGCATTACATATCTGCGATTTTCAAATTTCAACATTAGTCACATAAAAGATAACGGTATGTAGATTCAGAAGAGAGACTGAAGCGTCGAATTTATCCACTGTTCTATAAAGCTCCTGTGAATCGATACAAACAGGGATCCAATGCAATTTCGGCGTAAAAGAAAAAGAAAGCAAGAATGATAGACAAATCCTGGCTATGTAACAGAATACCCACCGCACTGCGTTGCTGATTTAAGCCACCATTACAACGAACACGAAGATAACCGTTTGTCTCCTTTGGAGGAGCTGAAAAAGGTAATAGAAGTTTATACAATCATCACGCACTTGCATTTCCCTAGAATCTGTAACAAAAGCATCGACTCAAAATATTTACTGTTCGAAAGACCAGATGCACCTACGGTGCCAATCAGATCGCGGAGCAGATGATGGTCTCCACCCACCAGACTCGGCACTCTCCCAGAGCCTTTCCACATTAATCTGCACATTTATCACATATACACCATCAAATTCTTGGAAAAACAGAGTAACGCAGCTCTAGATTCATTAGTTTGCATAAACCGGCGGTTCCAGAAACAGATAACTCAAAATCCGAGATTTCCATGTGCCCTCTCGCTTTCTCGTATTTTCTCATCTACAAACAGAAAACCTAATCCTCAGCTACAAATCACCACTCAAATGAGGGAAAAGGTTGGACTAACCTCGGATGGACCAGTTGGCTCGCGGTTACCTCCAATTGTAGCTGAGAAAAGCAGAGAGAGCGTGCAGATCAGTAGAACGAGTATTCCGATCGACAGCTTCGCCACCATTCCCTTCGTCCCCAGTCCTCCAGGCTTTCCATGAAGCCGGTGATGCCCTAACCTGCGATTCGCGCACAATCATCACAGATCCAACCGATAAATCTCTAAAAAAAAGCATCCTTCAACCCAGAAATGCGAAAGCATCAACAGTAAAATGATCAATTACCTCGGCATCGCGTTTCCGAATCCGGAAAGCAAAGTTTTCCTCCAGTGATTGGCAGAATGTGCAGAAATCTCCGGGAAGCAAGAAATCTCTCTCGCCGCTGATTGTTCAAGTAAATGTAAATTATTTTTTATTTAATTTATGAAATAATTAATGTTCTGTGGATCTTCGTACCGGCAACTCAAACCGACAGGATGAACCGGCACGCTCATAAACCAACCATTTAAACAATTCTATCTTCTCTGTTTCACAAAGATTTTTGGGGAAAAAAAAAATATAACAAAGCATCCTGTTTCAAGTTTGCTTTTTAATTTTTTTATTAGTTTCGTATTCAATTTCATTTTTTTATTTCTCTACATTCTAATTAAAATATGCTCCGAATCTATCAGTTTTTCGTTGAATATTTTATATTCTATAAATCGCTTTTGAATTAGGAAAAAAACTATTTGAATTATTTTTTCTTATTTAGTTCAACCAAATCTAACAAAGATGACCAATCATAATTTACTATCAAAATAAGATATTTATTAATGACAAGACACCACGTAGCGTGCCACGTCATCAATTAACAGACATTTAACACCCAATTCGGATTGTGTAGAAAATTGCAGTTAAATTGGATAGTTTGTGTATCAATTTGGCATATTTGATAAAATGGTGTAGTTTTTTGTCAAATTAAAAGTTCGTGTAGGAAAAAATCACATTTTAAACATTCGTGTAGCAAAATGTCATTTTCCCTGATTTTTTTTAGATTTTTTTTAAATTTTATTGAGTTTTTTTAAAAAATAATAATTCAACCAAATCTAACAAAGATCATGTTTCCTTCAGAAATCACTAATCTATTTCTCTACTCCAAACATCAGAAAGGAAAAGAACCAAAAATCCAATTTTGTTAAGAGAAGACCAATATCGGGTTCAATATTGTATCCAATGTAGTGTACCTCTACATATATATAATATGCGTATGTATGATGCAACCGGGAAATCGATCAATGGGTAGCTTTGGAGAGGTGCTTGAAAAGGTTGGTTATCTCGTTAACCGGAGAATCGGTCTTAACCGAACCGACGAAGGGAGACTCCGACGGAACGATGTCTTCTCGGAGGTCGGACTCCGGCGACCGGAGAAGCTCGTCGGAGGAGCCCTTCGCCGCCACGAGTCCCTTCACGATCACCGTCCTGTGGGCCCCAGATATCAGCTCCTCGTAGTCCGTGTCGCCGCTCTCTCCCACCACGACGTACATGTTCGCCACGTTTAACCTCCACCGCACGAACAGGTACCTGCCCGAACCGGAAATCAATTCCAGATTCATAAACTTAACCGGTAATCACCAAAACTCTCCGTGACAGACCGTTACTACTAGTGGTGACACCTTCTCTTCAATGTGTTCACGTGACCGAGCATATTGAACTGAACCGTACAAACCGGGCTCTAACCGAAACCGTAAACCGTTTAAAACCGAACCAAAAGAATGAACAGATGAATAAACCAGAAAAGAAAACGATGAGAGATACCTAAGAGCTTGAGAACGAGAAGCGAGAAGAGGAACGATCTGCAACCTGGTGGAGTTCCTGCAGTACATCGGATGACAACGAAGCCCTCTCAACCGTAACTTCTGCCGCAAGTCTTCCACTCTCATCACCTGCAAAAAAACCCCCCGATCATTACCCCTTTCGTCAAACAATCCGAATTCGATTCGATTCGATTCACCTTTGAGCGATCTCTTATCGAATACGCCACGCAGTGTTCGTTGCTCGATCGCCGATCCTCCTCGATCACGCCTCCAGATCCTTTAGGAGAGTTGTTCATCAGATTCCAGACCGTGTTCTTCAGCCCTTCGTTCCCCCATCGGTAATCGATATGCGTGGCGTAATCCTGATCCGGCAGCAGCTTCCCTTCTTCCCCGCCCGGGTAATACACCTGGCTCCCGCTGCTGCATATCAACGCGTCGAACTCGCTCGCCTGCATCTTTCCCGTCTTCATGAACTGAGTCAACTCGTCCAGCGGCAGCGACGTCGAGATCGCGAATCCCGTGTTTCTCGCCATCTGCGCATCCGATCTCGCCGCCTTTATCACGTTCTGAATGATCGGGATCATCCTGGTCGCGTCCGGAGCTCCATTTTCGTCGTAGCAGTCCAATGCAAAGACCACCAGCCGTCCCCTTCGCCTCAGGACCGGATACTTGCTCCCGGCGTTATCCGTAGCCTTCTTCCCCTGTTCGGTTCTGGCTTTGGTTTCGGATTCGGGTTGCCTGAACTGGCTCATGACTTGCTTGACAGGATCGGCATTAGGGTCGACGGAGTAGCTCAAGGACGATTTGTCTCCGTCCACAGATAAACGCAGAGACATATCTTGGACGTCTTTGAGAGAATCGTTGAGGGAAGATTCGTCCTCGTTAGCAGCCAGTTCATCCATGTCGGTCTGCCACTGTGGATGTCTCATACGACAGGCGGCCACTCGGGTGAGGTAAGTCCGGCAATGCTCTGGCCACGAGAACAGGTGAATGTTCTTCCACCCGTTTTTCCTGCAATCCATCCACAGGTTCTTCTCCGACACCAGCTTGAGCAATGCGTTAGCTATGGCTGCCTGATCGTGCGGATCTACGAGCAACCCATTGCCCAAAGCCTGATAAAACCATGTAAAAATATCATAAAAACAAATCTGGAATCGAAGGACATGTCTCTATTCAGATCGGTCTTCCCTTCTCTTACCCGGTGTATGTCAACTGGTCCTCCATTCTTTGTTGCCACCATCGGAAGCCCGTGAGCTGCAGCCTGCATTTCATGGAATGATTCACAAAACCTGTAAATCTCTGCGTTTATATAACTCGGATATATGCATCGACGATGGACTAACCTCGATCAGTGTAAGGCCAAAAGGCTCGACAAGAGCTGGGTTTATGAAAACTCCCTGCATCATTCATATAATCTTGTGAGCAAAAAATCAAGACAAAGCGTGGCTATAGTTCAAGGAAAAAAAAACCGAGGGCCAGACCTTTGTTTTGGCTGCAAGTCTGTATATGTCAGGAACATCAGATTGCTTATGATGCTTGGGGTAGGCGACAAGGCCATAAAGATCGTACTTGTCGATGAGTTTCAGAACCGTTGTAAGAACGCTGGCATTCCCGGCTGACATCTCCTCTATATCATCCCGGTTTCCCATTATCAGAGTCTGCAAACGAACAGGAAACCTTGATGAATCTCCTTACAAGATTCTCTCTCTCTCGAGCGAGAGAGTTTTCTCTGAAAAAACAAACGTCCTTACGAGATTAGCTAGCTCCCGGAGAGGCCTGCACTCTCCAAAGGCTTTCAAAAGGGTGGTTATGTTCTTTTTCGGGTCGGGTCTAGACAGTGCCAAGATCATCGGTTTGTGCGGATTTGTGAAAAATCTCATAACCTGCAGTCCAAAAAACCCGAAAAGCATGATTACCAGATCGAAATCGACCTGCAGAAAACGTGAATCTGGAAGAGAAGACTCACCTCGGACCATATGGTCGGAACCGCCTTTGGAGAGGACCCCTCGGCTCCTCCTGTCAACGCTGATAGCTCCCCGTCGACCTCAGGTGTATCTTCTTGCACCACGACATTCGTGAAATCCATTCCCGGAGGAATGACCTGCACAAAATAAAACTCGTAAGTTTTATTTTCTGGGGGGCAGATTTCTCGGGAAAATATTGTACGTACAGCCATTCTTGGCATGAACCGTCCGTGACAATTAACACCGCGTCTAGAACGAGCCCTCAAGACTTTCTCGAGTTTGACATCGAACCCATCATACAGTCCCCACTGCTCGTCGATCTCCTGCCTTGTGCTCGTGATTACAAGCTCTGCAGCATCAAGAGAAAGCTCTTCCGCCTCTATCCTCCTCATGATCTTATACGTCGAGTTTATATCTTCCTTCGACTGCCTCCCTTGCTTCAGAAGCTGCTCCAGCTTGTCTCTCCCGAGGGAATGACCCGTCAAGACCATCGGAACATTCAATGCACCTGACAGAAGAGCCGCACTGTCTCCTGCATCGGCGTAATGCCCGTGAATCACGTAAGGCCACACGGGTTTGCCCTGTCCGATCTGTTCGCCCAAAACCTTGGACATGTTCAGGATGTGGGCTAAGGCTCCATCGACGAATTCTTGGATATGAGGCCATAAGAGCTCTTTTCTGAGGTATTTGTCTCGCGGGCCGAAGGGGATTCTAATAATGTAAGCTCCGCTGCTCTCTCCGGCTTCGTCAGCGTCTCCATCCTCGACAGCTCCTGCGGTCAGCATCTCTGTCGGCTCGGCATAGCTCCAGTCGACTTCCGGCGAGCAGATTTGACGAGTGAACAGATCCACTCGGTATACACCCGGCATCTTTGCAAGCGCTCGAGCTAGCTCCACCACGTATTTCACCTGCCAGAAATCGTTCAGACAAGATGCAATCTACTGAGAAAAAACAAGAGAGCTTAGAACAGAAAGTACCTGTCCACCAGTGTCGGAATCACGACCAAGCTCCATTTGCTCCCCACGAACCAGCCCGTGCAAGCTGCCGAAAGAAGGGACTGTTCTTGTGAGCTTTTTACATATAACACTCCGATCGAAACAGAGAGGATCAGTGTTTTGTCTAATGACCTGATGAGTACGATGTAGAGCCGATTCTCTTTCTTGTCATCGGACCAGATCTCGATGATTGAGGGATTGCGTTGCAACCTTCTCCTGGGCGTCTCTGGTTGAACGATTTCCCCGACGCCGTCACCTTTCTCCCCTTCTGATAAGTCCTCCGACAAATCCTCCGTCGCATCTCTTCGTCCTTGTTCCCTTTCCCATCTTCTGTGCGCTTGCCGTTGCGACACTTCCCATTCCAGCTGTGTTCATTTAGATACATGCGTGTATATATGAACAAGAGATGTATGTATGGTTACATGTACATATCAATATATATGTATATATACAGAGTGACACGTACCTGCTTCTTCTTGCGAGTGAGGTGCCAGATTCTCCAGCACATGTTCTCGAGGCGCGAGTTGCGCTCACGGGAGTTACGCGTGGCGACGACCTTGATCCATGTCCGGTGAAGGTCGGTCTCGTCCACGCCGGTTACGACCTCCTCGACGAAGTACTTTGTCGGATTGAAGAATTGCCCTCCGTCTCTCGAATTCACCGGCGGCGCCTGCGGACGCTGCTCCTCTATCGCCTGAGCTCGGCTGTCCAATATCGCCTCCAGATACCCATTTATCCACTCGTTTCCCGCCATTCTCTGGGGCTGATTTTCTGTTTGTTTCTCGGGAAATAATACGGGCCTGTGGATTTTCTTTGATGGGTGTCTAAGAAAAGCAAGTGGGTTCTTCTTGTGGATGTATTAAGAGATTGACTCCGCAGGCATCAAAGACTGAGGGACCGAGTTTCACGAGAAAGTTTGGTTCTTTCGTTTTTCTTTTCTCGGGAAGTGTTTGGATTGAAGGAAAAATGATACTCAAGATTTTCTTTCTTGGAGCGTAAGAAAGGAAAACCTGCGGAAAGATGTAACGTGAGACAGAACCAAGTCCAGAAAGTGGCAAGCAAAAGAAGAAAAGCTTTCGTCTTTCTGATAACGACGGAAAGAGTAATGGGAGAAAAAAGTTCACAAGACTTTCTGGGGAAAAGGTGAGAATGTGCAGAAATGGCGGATTGAACGTGAACGAAGGTATGAGGGAGCGGAGGTAGGCGGTGGGGCCAATGGAGAAGCCACACGTGTACGGCATCGATATGTCCACGTGGCAGATTAACCCGAGTTAGTAGCAGAGTTCGTTATCGTCTCTTTCCTCATGGATTGTCCGCTTCCCTATGCGAGCTTCCCGCTTCTTCTCCTCTCAAACCCTCCACACCGTGTGGCGTCTTTCAATTAATAATTTAATATTCTCAATACCAAAAAAAAATATTTTTTATTTGGGAAAATAATAAAAAGAAAAAAAAAAGGGGGGGTGTATGGCGAGCAAGAGGGGCATTATCTGAGAGCATGTGGCCCAGAGAGAGTAATCTCTCCTCGTAATGTTTCTTCGCCTTTGACATGGCTTTCACACAAGTTCCTTTCCATGCAGAAGTACCCATCTTATATTACGTTTGTTTTATTCAAATATTATATTATATCACATTATAATATAACGTGCCCTCATCCATTGGTTGTGATCGTTTTACGTCAACGTTTAGTTTATTCTCTGAATTTCTAATAGGATATACTTTATCATGCAACGTGGTCCTACTTTCACAATTACATGACATTCTACGTTTAGTTTTCGGCTAAATCTTTTCTGCTGATTCCGATTTTTCTGGTTCAGCATCGGTTTCTGATATCTGTGAAGAGATTAGTACCGATTCAGATTACATTTAACGAACGATCAAAGAAGAAGTAAATAAAATCATATGCATTTACACAGTTTTATAATTTTTTTTATTTTATTTGGTTCCAAATCAAGTGGATGACAATGACTTTAAAGACCAAGATCAAACTTACTCGGTGCAGCCTCTGAAGCATTATTATGATGATTGACGCAGCAGATCATCAAGATTCTGGCTGTGATGATGTTGAACTTCATTGTTCCGATCTGCTCACTGTGCTCCGAAGCCCGAGATATCCCGTTTTCCAGGACGGGGAGCATCGTGCCATGACGGCTAACGTCTTGACCGTTCCCCGGCACGGGTCGTTCCCAAACGCAGCATTCGAGACTTCGACAAAACAGCTGTTCCGTCCTTCGCAAGCCTGCAGGAAAAAAATGTTACTGTGTGGTGATTGTGAAAACATTGAGAATCATAACTAGATTCTTGATATCATTTACGCAAGTATGCTAAGAAGGGTAAATTATAAGTTACCTCAGAGACGATGCTTAACGAGTTGGATGAATGGCATCTGCCTGTGGAGAAATTCTGGCAACTACCCTTTGGAGTACCATAGCTTGCGAATTCAATGGATGATATTACATTTCCCTCTTCACAGTGCAAATGCATTTCTGGTGCGGTGCCTTCTATCGAGATAGTTCCGTTCATAAACTCTGGTTTGGACCATTTCCGAAGAGGTGGGTAGTGTGATTCTGATACTTGAGCACACAGAAGGGAAGCAGTAACTGTCTTAACCGATATCTTGAACGGGTTTCCCCCAATCTCTTCAAAGAGAACGAGTAGATTGTTTGATGGGTTTAACCATGAACGTGGTACATGGTACCTGCACGATCGGTAATCAAGAATCATTCATGGAGCCATTGTAAACCTCAGCAAAGAACTAAGTGCGAATATTGAACTAAAGTTTCCAAGATTCAGCAATTGACTTCTTTTTGTCAATTAGCATAAATGGTTATGGATTTATTACCGGGTTTGAGTAGGGTTTCCACAGTTTGTTCTGCACTTGTCCGAGTCGTAAGCTCCACGATAATCACAAGCTTCGCACCCATCTTTGGAGGAAGTAATATTCCAGTACCGGCCAATATGGTGTCCATTGACCCAGGCTTGGCCCTTTCCCATACTTCCGAAGTCAAGAACAACAGGATCTGTGCCATCCGGGGTAACGAAGTACGTCTGATTCAATAAGGGAAAGAAAAGGAGTAACCAATGGTGAGTAGAAAAATCGGAAAAAGCCAATAAAACGTTTTTTTTTTCTTGAGAAATGAAAAATTTGACAAAAAAAAACACATAATGTTTGACAGATTAGTTGAAGAGATGCAGATTTAACCTTGTACCACGTAAAGATTGATGGCGAAACATCGGGCTCCAAGATACTCCATTCAGCATTTGCATTATTTTCGACGGCATATATTTTCTCAGATTCGCCTTTTAGTCCCACCTAGAACAACGACACAAAGAAAATTCAAAGGTTCCTTGATGGTTCTTGTTTCTTCAGAAAGAATGCAACCAAAAAAAAAAGTATGAAACTACGTGACCGTAGCATTTGAAAGTTAAGGTTCTCCCACCTGGTAAGTCCATGATAATTTGGAGAGGTCCACATCCCCGTTCTTGAATCCTGTAATCTTTGCTTGGCCTCTAAAACCCGCTCCATCCTTCTCCAAGAAGGCACCATAATTCTGCGCCATCATATCAAATAAGATCATAGTCAATATTTAAAATGCAAAAAGAGAGAAAAACAGAGATAATATTGCCAATTGAATTACCTGTAAACCCACTGTCTGGGTAAGCAGAATTAAATCATTGTATCCCTGAACAAAACGAACGGGTTGCACTGCCTTCACCCAGTGACCAACGACACTGCCTTTACTTCCATGAGACGGAAAAAGACAAGTTAGTTGAAGAAGCAAGAGAGAATCTCTAGAGTGCATGGTTCATTCTAATACTCTTGTTTTTTAAATGTTGTTACTATTTATAACCGAACTCATAGAGTAACAACACGAGCAAACACAAACAGATACAACAGATAAGATGAAGAGGCAGAAGAAAGAAGTGTAAATTACCTGAGTGTTGTCCATTAACAAATATACGCAACACATCACGCATGCTATCAATTGAAACTGCTGGGTTTGCTCCATTTTCCTCCCAAAATGAGATATCTTCCTCAGATACCAATATTCTACATTTAGTTGGAACAAGTGGAAATGCATTAGAAACGAAACTAAAGAAAGACAACTGATTAGTGAATGTTATTGACATCACAGTACTTATTTTCCATTAGAATACATAAATAAACAGATCAGAAAATCTCCCAAATTTTGATAGAAAACCGTTCTTGATCATCTATCCACAGTTTCTTTACCTTGAATGATTGCTGGTGGACAAATTATGAAACAGACAGTTCAGAGTTGCTACCTTGTCTTATGCCATAGGTAATCAGAACTATCTTTCGTGACATTCAAATGTTCCAATAATCCTTGGAAGGTGAAATTGTTTTCATTCCAAATGCCAATAGGCTCTTTCAAAGCCATCCAGGATTTTGAGATATTAGACACGTCATCCTCATTCATTGTTTTCTGCATTATAGAAAGGCTACCGAAAGGAGGAGTGACCAACTCTGCCGTTTTCACAGAGGTTTGTGCCCCCACCTGCTCAAGGAAAGAAAAGCAAGAATCTCATGAAACATGTTGTAAAATAAGTGGACATATAGACCAGAAGACGCCATCAGAGAACGCAAATAATTGGCAATCGCCCGATAAATCAGGAAAATTTCAAGTTCAAAGCAGGAGAAAGTTGGATATTATCTTCCTGTCATTATTACTACTTTCATGTTACAAAAGCTTGCAACTGTTTTAGATAGTCATACCAGGAAACTATATACAATATTAGCCTCTCTAGGTGTCTGAAAGGGAAAATTCCAATGGAACATGCATTAGGAAATTTAGTCATTGCTGTCAGTTTTCTGCAAGAAAGCAGCATATGCCTGGAAATTCTAAAGGAAATGGCCGACTAACAGTGGTCTGAATTTTAAAAAGACAAGGACTATAGACTGATATCTTTTCGGGCATGCACACACATTTAGCAAACCGACGCATATCCAATACAACCAGGAATAGATTCAATAGAAATCAAACCTTTGCAGTGCTGAAGGCAACATTTCTGCAGTCTGGCAATATACTCACTGACCAAGGTGGTAAAGTATACGACTGGCCATTAAATTTCACAGACACGGCTCTACGCTCATCAATGTTTGCGAGAAATGCAGAGCAGATCTTTCCTTCAGTCTGGCTATCACCATGATAGACATGCGCCTGAATTTGAATTGTTTAACATCAATTTTTAAGTACAGACTGAAAAATAAACTCAAGGGCACCTCATATACATTGTAACAGGTTTTAAGATATCAGTACATAAAGTTCAACTTTAAGTCAACCAACATTTGAATTTGTTAGATCTCAGCAAAAAATTGTGATGCCAGAGAAAAGGAGACCAACCAGTGAAGAATCAATCTAACATTATCTCTCTTTTATCTATTAGAAAAGAAAAGTAACCTCTAAGTTTTATCATCGTTCTCACGCAGACAGATTTAGCAATGGATAGTTAACGAAATTGCAAAGAGTCAGAACAGACCTCCTGCCTTGGTCCCAATTTTATGTATTGAGGTGAATCTGCTGCAACAAGCGCAGGCTCACAAAGTTTTATAGCGGCATGTAGATCCTTTAGATGCCCCCATTTTGGCTCACTCCTCAGACCTTAGTGAAGGACACAGACAATCAGTTCAGAATTACCTGACTACATATTTCTTACCGACTGATTTCCTGACAGTATAAATTTCACCCACCATATTCATCAAGAGGAGCATCATAATCATAGCTTGTGATATAGAACGGACCACCGGAAGTTCGACCAAAGTTCGTTCCACCAAAATACTGCAACCATATGATAGGCTCATCAATATATGCGGCACAAGCACATGAAAGTATCGAATGTTCATCAATAGTGATTCATATCCAAGCTAAGTGAAAACATTTAGAGATAATTATGCAAAAATGTCTCTAATACTTGCTTCCAAAGTGGGGAGGTTTCTGTTGGAGGGAAATAACGCAGAAACCTTACTATAGCATGAAGAAAAATAATTGTTTATTTAAGCTATGTACTGTACCATGTAATAATTTTGAAAGCTTCCTCCACGCTGATAAAATCGTGCAACTGCGAAAGCAAGATCTTCGGCAGGCCTGTGAGGCAAACGTCCACCCCACCTTGCATACCTTCAAAAGCCGAGTTAATCTGATCAGTTACTATGATACAATATAATTATCTTAGTAGAAGCCATAACAAAATCGCAAAAAGAAACAAATTTTTCAAGGAGAAACAAAATTTTTCTCTTTCTCATTAAGAGATGAAACAAGTTTTATACTACCCAACCACGTATCTGACATGTTAGATAAAACCTAAAATTACATGAAATACACTCTACGTCTCAAGACATGGATAGGACATCGTCAAAAACGCATTGGAGTATCTCAATAAAACGGAACCTGAAAAATGCAAATCCGAAAAGCACTTCCTCGATAGAACTGATTGATAAAAGCAAATCACTCTCAGAATGCATACCATCCATCCCAATCCTCTGTCCAGAGTACGGGCTTCTTATTCGAATTAGGTTTAAACCCATCACAATAGTATCCATTGCATGCATCTATCTGAGACACAAGAGATTGAATAAAGTGAAAGTCAATGTTTTGATAAACACAAAGGGACACCTGCCAGAAACATAATCTCCCTCACACGAGCATCTCAATCATATTTTAGGAACCCAAAGAAAATCTTGAAACTTTATATCAACCTGGTGGACAGGCCACACAAAAGCAGGATATATCATTGTGGAGAAATCTTACAGCACCAAAATCAAGTTAACGACATTACGATATTCTCTGGGGCGTCCGTTTGCCTGCACATAACCCACGGAACTCCAGCACCAAGCCCCAGAGCCATGCTAGCAGCCCATTTGACATAATCTTTTCCCTTCTGTCCGAATGATTTCTCAATATCCCCATATTCATTCTCAATCTGAGTATGGAAAAAAATTCTAGTCATGGATGGGTCATCGAACAAGCTGCAATATTATGCAAGAACTCCTTAAGGCTGATCAGTCAGACGAAAATTATCATAGAGAAGAAAGAATGTCAGACCGTGTCAACATAAGAACAATCAATTTTATAATACAAAAGAAAGAAACATTGATGCTTAGGAAACAAATCAGTTAGAATAGCTTTTCACCTGCAACATGATTATCGGACCACCTTGCCAGCAGAATAGCTTTTCTTCTCGCATAAGATCCACAATCTTCTTAACAAAGAGCTGCATCTCCTCCTGAAAATAACAAAAAACAGATACATGACTATTTAAGAAAATAACTAAGCTAAAACAAATGAAACTCTACATAAACAAAGGAAATGGGGCATGCACTCTCATCCTCAGATTGTACCTTAAAAGGTTTGTTATCTGTTCGAAACTCTATGCCGGGAATATCACGCAACCAAACTGGGAAGCCCCTACGAGATTTGAGGAAAAGGATCAAAGAGACAGAAGTTCAAGAGATGCAAACGATAGATTTAATTTGGCCCTTAATGTAAGATAATGTGGAATTCCAGCATTCACCAGCACTATTTATTACTCAGATAATGAAACATGCTTCACGCAAAGAAGAAAATTATTCAAGAAGACAAACCAAAAGAAAGGATATACCCGAAATTCCACTCAGCGCAAACATAAGGGCCTATACGCAGATGGAGATACAACCCACTCGATCCAACAAGCTTCACAAATTTGACAAGGTCATATCTTCCTTCAAAGTTATACTGAATAAGCAGTACAAAACAACCATCAAAATTTGCAGTGAGAACCATGGGCAACAAGGGCTTAAAATGAGACAGGGCACAGTATTTGGTCGACCTGACCCTTTACAGGCTCGTGCCCATTCCAGAAGACGTAAGTTTGAACCACATCTGCACCACCCTCTTTGCTCTTTGCAATGAGATCAGGCCACATCTGATACAAAGCCAACATCATAAGATCGCAAGAATTTAAAGTTGTCCATCTAAGTGCCCCTCAGGAAGCTACTCCTTTTCGAAATCTTCTCCGGTGGATTGCCAAAGAGTCTAATTCAATGTTAGCATCAACCTAACGCTAATACTAGAAGTCCCAGCGTCCGAAACAAGTATGCACAACTTGAATCTCGACTAATCCAGCTAAACCTCGAACAACCCATCAGAATTCGTCGAATTACTGAGCTACTGAATGCGATCATCGGAAAAAAAATCCGCGTAAAAGATGCGATAATTACCTCGGGAGTGGCGCGTGGGTAGTGAATTCCGGCGGAGACTAGCATTCGCCGTTTTCCGGCGACGATTAGAGCTCGGTGGTCGTAGCTCACGTTGAAGGGTTCAAAGAAATTTCCGGAAACGGTGGAAGAAAACAGAACGAAAGCGATGATCGGTACCAGCATCCTCCACTGAAGCCAACAAGTCCGTGTTGCTTCCGCCATTGGACAAGCACTGGATTTGACAAGTATGTTGGTTCTTGAATTTTGGAGTAACAAGAGGATGATGGGGAGCTTTATAGCAGGGAAAAGTTTTACAAATTTACAACTAACCACTCATAATCTTGAGATATGCTAAAGTTTCCTAAACTTTTATGCAAAGACCCTACCCTTGGGGTTGTCAGAGATTTTCTAGTTGGATAAGTTAGTAAATTTTAGAAGTTTATGCTCTATTTTTAATATATAAAAACATTAGGGTCCAAAACATGGTTCTATTGAAAGATTGAGGTTAATTTCATAAAATTTTAAAGGATTGTAGCGGACAGTGACCCCGGTCCTAACTGACAGTCACAACTCCACAAAATTGTAACACATGCCCCTCATATACACAATATTTATGTAATTACCACTTTATTCGAAACGTTGCGACTAAAATATCAATGAGAATACACATCTCTACGAGATAATATCTGATTTGATTTTAATAAAATACATCTGAATCATAATAATCACATATGTTAAGTCATCGTTGACCGTTAATTTCCATAAATTGTTGATATTATACTTTTAATGTACATTTGATATTTTATGGTTTGACATACAAAATTAGCTAATTTCATATTATGATTTCAAAAATGATGATCGCAATAAATAAATAAAAATTGCATCTCAATCATAGTAAATCTAATCCCATAAAAAACTGTTATATCGTATTCTTGTAGAAATAAAATACCAACCCAATCCGTATCTCCATCATGTGGAATGATTAGAATATACTAGACCACTTTATTCCTACATTTTAATGTAGAGAGATGAATTCGAACTCGCAAGCTCAGACCCCACGGTAAATGGTTTTACCGTTGAGTCAAGTCGACCTCATATCTCAATCATCGTACTCTTGTAGAAATGATACAAAGAAATATCAAAAAGAGTCGATTATTTGTATTGAACCGGTTATTGGAGATTGCATTGCTTTGTTTGGTTATCAATCCGGATTGTCTTTGGTGTAATAATTCCCGGTTTGTAATTAATTTCGGTCTGGGTTTGTAGCTCTGCGAGATTTATTTATATGAAAACCTAAATCAATCTAAAACTCAAAACTCCTAAGAATCCACAAGAGGCAAAGAGCAAAGGAGACATAACTGTACCATGTTTTCCTAAAACAGCTGCAAGAATTTCTTACTACATGACCTCAACTAATCGTTTCTGCATTGCTCTCCGGCTGGTGGCAGAAGAAGAGCCAACCTTGCTTTGTACCTCGCGATCCTCCTTAACCGTTCTTCTCTTAATCTAAGATAACGAAAAAGCCCGGTTCTGAATTAGAAATCTTCATAAAAAAACTGTCAAGAAAACTACTAGCTGAATCTGTCAGATGTTTCCAGTGCATCTAACTCGGGATGCTTACAAGACAGAGTCTTGGCTCGCCCCATAGCATTTTTCCACATTTGAAGCAACAAGATACGAAAAAGAAATCGTCTTGGCAAGCATATATCCGCATAAATCCATTTAGATGTCTCGAGAGACGTTTAAAGAACAGTACGAGGTGATTTCTTAGGTGTTGTATAGGTCGGTTCAGACACAAACAGAAGTAAATAGCTGACGAAGCAGCACATCAAACATGATAGGGTTATGTTCCGGAAAATGAAAGAGCATATAGAGGAAAGGTCTTGTGTAACTCACCGGGCACGGACTTTCTTAGCTCTGGCAACGTGCCTTTTTAAAAGGTCCTTCTCCGATAATTTTTTCACAGCTTCCTCGTCCTAACCCGAATCAAAAAGAAGAGTAAACTCACTTTGAGAATGAGATAGTATAACTCAAAACATCAGGAGGAAGCAGCTATAACTCACACCAACTTTATCAGGACATTTTTGGAACAAACATCTTCTCTTCTGCTGAGTCAATAGACACAACAATAGAAGATAATATCATAGTTCTGGGAGAGAAAAGGAACCTCATTGTCTTCTTCATTCAGTTCTTCAGTTGAATCCTTTGGTGGACTTGACTCCATCATATGCACAGGCAAAGGCTTTGGCAAAGACTTCAATGTATCGTTGCTTTGCCTCTGCCAAAGTAAGTCAAAACCATAAGTGCAGTTTATTTAGACTTTGTCCCACATTAGTATGTTGCAACTCTTTAGTGTCAAGGGTTTGGCAATTGGTAGAGGGGAACAGAGCAAGACAGAAAATTTTTGTGCTGCGTTTTTTAAGAGAAAGTGGTTGCTGGAAATACAAAAATTATAACTTTTGGCATGTCCTATGGCAAAGGAAGACAGAAGAACAAATGGGTTATACCTTTGCACATAAAAAATAACACTATCAGTAAGCCTCTAGCAGCTAGGTGATCACAGTCAGTTTACAGAACTACTTAAGTTGTACATTGCAAGAGAATGATCCTAGAATATTATTAACCATTATACAACCACGAGAGCAAGATTGCAGAGAATAGAGAGAATGATACAAACCTGAATTCCCTCATGAACCCCGTTTCTCAACCACGATCGACAAAGAGAATAGAGAGAATCCCCTTCCGTTATTCTTACCTGCAAAACAAAAGAGAACTTATTACAATCTACAATCTACCAGTCTTTTTCCTAATAGGTAAAGAGTTCAAATAGTTACTTAAAACCAAGAGTATAAAGGATTCACTTACCTTTCTGCCTCTAACAAGGACTAGTGCTTCATCCCGACTTCTGACAACATGGGAAGAAATGGCAAATTGACTAAGTTGCTAAAGGCAGTTTTGATTATATATGCTCAACTAAATGAAAAAGGAAGATAATAGCCAACAATTGTCAGGGAGATTCAAAGTTTACCTTCCATTTTTATGGCCAGTGTTGTCTAGAATTGAAGACGAAGGTGGGGCAACCTAGTCATCCAAATTTACAAACTGAGAAGATGCAACAGGAAACAAGAACAAGAACCAAACTTTCAACTCAAAGATTATGCGCTGAATTGCATAAAGTCACAAAACAGTATAAGCATTCATCTGATAAAAAAGAGTTTTAACCCTTCCTCATCCAGAAAAATAGAACAACGAGGACTGAATATAACTATTTCCCAAAGGAATATAAGCTTAATCACATAGCAGGTATAGGAACCCAAGTAAAGATGAGCAAACCAAGGAGCATCCAGCCAATGAACGACAATGGTACAAATTTCTTGCACAACTAGCAACATGATTTCAGCATGAAAAGCCACAAGCTTAGACATATTTTGAGGAAGACAATTCGCTGTGCACATGCAACCTTTTGTTTCAAAAGATGATCACACATCTTAGTAACTTAGTGGCAAATGACCATCTGAGTAGTAACTTAATACAAATCTGAGTGTGCCAAACTCGACAAGAATCCAGTCAGAGAGGAAGACAGGAGATAGAAAACTAGAGTACTCAAAACATTGATTAAAGAATGAACCTTTTGCAACAATTTGAGGTTAATTGAAACACGGTTCCACGAACTACACGCAACTTTCCAAATGAGAAGTGCGAAAAAAAGGGATCCACCATTAACAAAGATGATCATCATCACAGTGCCATGACGTATATGGGCATCTTAGATTCTGTTAAGTCTACTACGTGAATTAGGAGCTAGCAATATCACATCTTTGACCATTGTTCCCACAAACACTTCCACAACTGAACATGAACCTAAGTATCAACACATCAGAAAAACCAACCAAAATTGAAAACCTCTCCGAGAAAGCTAAAACCAACTATGTGTCGTCTAGGAATGGCACTAGCCCAAATAACTAGAACAAATAAGAAAATTTTAGGAGAAATATGGTAGAAACCTCACCCTGGGCTGCAAGAAGTGAGGAATTCCCCTTATGGGTCCCGACCCAACAGGAGCACCGGAGCCGAGGTGATGGAACTGGTGCATCTGAGGATGAGCAGCTCTCATGAACTGCATCATCGGGTCCAAATGATTCGACCCGAATTGCCGATGATGGTATGCGAAAACGGGCCGAGGAAGGTATCCACCAGGATTACCCGCTGTCACGGCTGGATCGGAAACGGAAGGGGAACTGGGTCTTCGGGGTCGGGTCGAAAACCCTCGACCCGAATTAGTAAACGGGTAGAGAAGAGCCGACGGATCTTGGTGAGGCGAACTGGCGACGGAATTCGGCTGCCTCACGGGGAAGGGCTGCGCGTAGAGGTTTTGAGCTTGTTGGAACGGGTGTGGATGGTGGTGCTGCTGAAACGGCGGAGCTAGGGCTCTGTGCAGCGTCGGCGGAGCGGGCGGTGGCTGAGAAGGCGGCGTTCTGACCGTAGCTGGTGTCGCCGGTGTTTCCGAGACAGTGGTGAGAGAACGCGACACCGCCGCGGAGGCGGTTGAGTTGGGGGAACTGGACATTCCGACGAATCGCACTTCGGTGGCGGCGGAGGAAGATTCCGCGTTCGCAGATTCTTTTGGAAAACACAAACGAAAGATTCAAATTTGGTGGATTTATTTTTCTTCACGAGGCGCGGTTTCTCTCAAATAAAAAGGTTAGCAAAACTAAACAAACGTTTAATTAGTAATCAAATTGACTCATTATTACATATTATCTTTTAATTAATTAATATCATTAATTAATTATGTAAACAAGTGTTTGGGCCCAGCCCGGCCCAAGGATAAAAATGGAAATGACGATACAGAAAAATAAAGGTTCGTTTTTTTGGGGGGTGAGAACGACGGATAGGGTGAAGAAGTTCGAATGAATGCACGATAAACCCTACTGTTCGAACTCGATCTTCGCTGTGCTCATATCGGAATCGAAGGTAAAAACACGTTCTTCTTCGAATTCGTGTTCTGGGATTATGATTTTTTATTTGTTGCCTCGTGATTTCTGATTCGTTGAAGATTTTGTGAGCTGGTAGGTTTAGCTGGTGTCAGCAACCTCTGTGCCAGGGTTTGAATCGTGTTTCTTATTGTGTTTTGTCGAAATTCTGAAACTTTGTCTCTCATTTCCTTTTGCTTTACCGAAATGCTGTAACGTCTCATGGTGGGTTTGATTTATGATTGCACGCGGAAACTGGATTGAAGCTTTGAAGCTTCAGAAACTAATACCGTAATACGAAAGCTTGTTTATATATTTTATGAGCTATAGTATAGTACAAGATCTGTTCTTTCTCTTTTCAGAATTGTTTTTTTGGGGGAAATTCCGAGGCCTTTTGGTCTTCTCTTCTGGATTCGGTTCTTATTCTTAATTTGCTGGAAGCCGTTATCTGAAGTATAATACTTTCTGAGATTCATTCATCGTTGGTCTCTTCGTGCCAAGTTATTTTGGTTTTAGTAGTGTCCCCAAGTGAATTAAGCTATTGGTTGTGGTATAAGCAACAGTTCCGTGTTTATTGTTCACGCGTCTTATGTGCATTTGCTGGATGAAAACTCTGGTTACCCCTGGTGTGATCAATCATGCTGTAGGAACTTCAAACTATGAACTCAAAAATCGAAATTAACTTTTGCAGTGTTGTAATTGCAGTAGACCCCCAAATAAAATGAAAAACTTTGACCCCTTTTTGGTGTTTTTTCCTTCAATGTGACCACTAGATTCAAGTTACTGCATCTGTAGACATTGCATTGGTTCTTGTCTAGCTGTGCTCTGGTCTCGCTCAGTCCACTAGTGGAGAGGGCATGAAGATTTTACATAGCATAACTTATTATTTATTTCCAGAATCTAAGGTATCAGACAACATGTTTATGGGGCTTAAAAGAAGCAGTTTTTTTTTATCGCGAAACAAAGATTTATGGATTTGGTTATCTGCATGATTTTCCATTCCATTTTTCCTTTGCGATGATTAATTATGTATCTGTACTTGTCTTGCTTGCTTTTCCATAGGCAGTTGGTAATGATGCTAAATGGATGCAGCACGCCCAGCGCACATATTTTGACGAGTTCTAGGGCATTCAACTCGCCGTCATACAGAGTTTCTGCAAGGAGGATTCACCATTTTCCTGCCCGAAGGTCATTCTCCATCATCGAGAATTCTTGGGCACCATCTCTACCACATAATGTGCTTCATTCTTTGGTGCCAAGAGGCATGTGAATCTCCTCTTTCTTGATGCGTTTGATGATTTATTCCATTTCTCTGTACAATTTTAAAATTTTTTAGATGGCCTGAAGCAAGGATTTAACAGCTTGCACAATCTTGTTTGGTATTTTCAAAATTGCTTGTTTTGGTTATACCTGATTCTTCTAGTTATCCTTGTATTTTCAGGACTGCCTCTATCACATCTCTCAGCCTCGTGCTCACCACTTCTGAATGGAGAGCACGGCAGTCTCTCTCACACATTACCTGTTTTACCCCCGCGAAGAAAAACCCTTTTGGCGCCACGAGCATCAAAAGATGTACCTTATAGCTTCCGTTACCCAGCAATGACCAAAAAACCAAAATGGTGGTGGAGAACTCTAGCATGCCTACCATACCTTATGCCTCTGCACGAGACTTGGATGTACGCTGAAACCGCTTACCATCTCCACCCGTTTCTAGAAGACTTTGAATTCCTCACCTACCCGTTTCTGGGCGCCATCGGGAGTTTACCAAGCTGGTTCCTAATGGCTTACTTCTTTGTTGCTTATCTTGGGATCGTGAGACGAAAAGAGTGGCCCCACTTTTTCAGATTCCATGTAGTGATGGGTATGTTGCTGGAAATTGCCCTTCAGGTCATCGGAACAGTCAGCCGGTGGATGCCTCTTGGCCTCTACTGGGGGAAGTTTGGGATGCACTTTTGGACAGCTGTTGCATTTGCTTATCTGTTTACTGTCTTGGAATGCATAAGATGTGCTCTTGCAGGCATGTATGCAGACATCCCTTTTGTCTGTGATGCTGCTTATATCCAGATCCCTTACGACTAAGATAGCCACGGATCTCTTTATGGTGTAATGTCCTTGCTGTGTTTGGCATGCTACATTGATGGATCTGTACACTCTTTTATCAGTTCATTGGTTGTATTGTTCTCCATTCGGATACATCTGTGTCCTATTGAAGTTGCAATATCTGAACAGAACCATAACTGGAACTGAATGGAACTGTCAAAGTTTCAAACTTCTGAAAGTTTCGGCTATCATGAAACTGGTTAATCGGATAATGAAACGAATACCAGATCTCAACTCAGTTTTTGCCAAAGAGATATGCCCAGACAATGAACTTGAACTGTGATCTTTGATAACTCAGGAATGTGTATGCATTCCGCAGAACCATATCTGTAAGTTTTGCAGTGTACAAAACAGTAGGGTGTATTCAGGAGCACAGAAACATGGGGATCATACAAAAGACGAGACATTTAATGGGAACCATATGGTAAAAGTTACTGGAATCAGAGAAAGAAGATATATGCACTCATGAGTTAGAAGCCTGACCACCCAGCAGGTTGAGCAGCCTGCTGATTATCTCTGACCCGTGAATTTCCAAATCGCTGGGAAGTGTTACCTGAGCCGAGAGGTCTTTGTGTTGCAGAGGCAGAAGTCGGGGTTGCCCTGAAGGAATCTGTCTCAAAACCCCACGAATCGAAACCTTGGCTTGTTGGGACAGCAGTGAGGGTTGTTTGCTTGCTTGGCTGACTGTTTCTGGTTCCAAAAGACTGATTAGTACTAGTGTTGTTACCCTTTGATGCAGTCTGCAAGTTGGGTTTGGGATCATCGCTGAAAGCTTGCCATGGCTTCAGATCTGATTTCCCAGTTGCCCAATCTGATCTGTCTTGTTGGAGTTCCCACATTGTTCCTTCGATCTTCTCTCTCTGCTTCCATAAGAGAGAACAATATAATCACAAAATAGGATATAAAAGGGCCAACGAAAGGGCAACAATGATCTATATTTCTCGTTCTTTTTGCTTGTTTAATCCTGCAGATGTCATGCTGATCACATGAGAAATTAATATGGACTTGAGTGTTTCCTACCCTACCAGATACGTAATTCCTAGTGTATTCATCCATCCAGTTGTACTTCAATGGCGTTATATAAAAGGAAATAGTACCGGAGAAGTTGCACGAGCTCCTGAAGAGGTTCGAGTCTGTGGACTTTCTCTGCTAGATGACGACGCAGTTTTAGAAGCAAGAGTTTGCTTGAGCTCCTGTAACTCTTGCCTTTGGGATCTGCAAATGGCAGAAAGCTTTTCAAACTTAGCGGTAATCTCTGCCTTCTCTGAGTTGGCTTGTTCCAACTGTTGTTTCAGCCTCTCTATCTCAGCCCCCAATGCATCTTCCTTTGCAGATTTATTATTACCAGTTCCACTGTCAAGCTTCTTGGAATCAAATTCCGCAACAAAAGTATTAAAAGCATCATCCTTTGACACCTTCGTCCTGTCGGTGGCAGGACTTGTATTGTTAGGGTGAACATTCCTTTGTGCAGCACGAGCCTCTCCACTCACAGGGCTAGGGTTTTTGTGTGAAACTCTTTCAGATTTCGATGTGTTGCTGTAGCTGTTTGGTTCACCATCCGCGAAAAGTGAGTTCTTTGCGTGTTGAGTGGACCAGAAGGCACCGAGCTGTCCCCCACCAGCCGACTCTCCAGAAGGCGGTGGAGGTGGACTTCTACGAGGAACAGGAGAAGATTTATTCGCAGAGTTGGATGACCCTGCCAAATTCACAAGGATTAAAAGAGAAAGATTTAATTTTTTCTAAACAGCAAACTCTGAAGATCTAGCACTGAAATGCTTCTAGAATATACAAATCGAGATAGAATACCGTCATGAACTCCAGTAGATTGCATCTCAGGCGGTCCATCAGGTAATGACTTCTGCAAATTAGCAGGCAACTGCTCATTGACACGAAACCAAACCTGCAGATGGGAGAAAATTCCAGTAAGAAAGGATGTTAGAGACATTGATTGCATCGTTTCTGATGATAGAACTATAGGTAATTAATGTCCAATTCATCGGGAGGACATCGGAATGAAGCAAAGCACTTGCCTGTGTAACATCTGGTCGGTCATCTGGTGAAGCTTGAAGCATGTCCTTGATGAGATCTGTAACAGATGAACTGTACTTAGGCATGTCTGGTATTCGATAGTTCCCATTCAGTATCTGTAGCTTTGATTCTCCATCAAATGCATTCTTGAAATAGCATATTCGAAACAGAAGACAGCCAAGAGCCTGGAATTAATAAAGAACATTCAGTAATGGTCTAATCTAAACAAACTTTATTATCTGCAAGGAAAATGAGGCATTCCATATGACGTACCCATATGTCGACCTTCTCACTTACACGCTCTCTTCTGAATAAATCCCACATCTATTGCAATAAAGGAAGTTAGAAATGTATCAAACACCTTTACCAATTACCACCAATGATTCTAAAACTTTAAAAGGGTCTAAGAGGATATATATATCCACCAACCTCGGGGGCTCTATATGCTGGTGTTGTGTATTTCCTAATGTTGTCTTCTTCGATGCCCATTTCTTCGGCCCTTTCAAATATCTTGTGATTAGTTGAAATGCTCCCAAAGTCACACAACTTCCACTGTCCATCTGAACTTAGTAGAAGGTTCTCAGCCTTCAAATCCCTGGAAAAAGACAACACAGTTAATGACTTCTATGAGTTGCTTGCTGAAGAGAATCGAGAAATCCACTAACTAATGTGGCTAAGGAAATGCTTGTGATGAGCACTGACCATTATAAGTCAGGATAGTTTTAGTATGATGCATAGGGTATGCAGTAAAACCCGACTTATTTATTTTCATTGTTAAATTTTCTCCAGCCTTTCTTTCTTGGTCAACTGGCTTATAGCATGAACGGCTATCATGAACAAAAACTAAAGCAATGAACATTTCATTACACAAATAAGGGAAGATTTTTCCAGAATTTAGGATGGTCAAGGAAAGATGAAATTAATCACCTGTGAGCAATAGGTGGAGATTGACAATGCATAGAAAATACGGCATTGCACACATCTCTGAAAATTGAAAGAACCTGTTTCTCCTCGTAGTAACCAGCACCCCTGCTCTCCAGTACACTGACGAGAGATTTACCGCAAAATTCCATCACTAGAAGGGCTTCTTTTTTTCTCCCCATGTCCAAGACACCATGTGCATAGAGGGTGACAATGTTTGGATGTCCCTTGAGAGATTTCATTACCGATATCTCCTTCATCACGAGTTCTAGTGACTCTTCGTCATTACATATAATGTGCTTCAAAGCATACTGCTTTGACAGGTTTGTTGCATCCTGAGCTAAGTAGACACTGGAGAATCCTCCCTCTGCGATGATATTCCGGACTTGAATTTTAAGATTTCCAACATCAAGATATCGACCTTCTAGCCCTGCGGGCTCCTTCTGAGCAAACGGTTTGAACTTCCACATGTTTGAATAAAATTATAAGCGAGAAGAATACTGCACAAACATAAACAAATGTTATGAAAACATGCACTTCGGTATATCATGCTATCAGGTCCCATCACAGATGTCAAGTGTTAGATTTATCCCATATGTAGCATTCAAAAACACAAACCAAACAAAAGCTCATTGTCTAGTATGCAATAAACCACACACTGCTGAAAAGTTCTCTTTCAGCTAAAGCAACCAAGCAGATTATTCTCTTAATTCTTGAAACCCGACCTCACACTTGAAGGTGATTCATATGGGAATACCCGATTCTATCTGCACCCAAATAACAAACACAAATGCTAACAATGTGGCAATGAACAATCCTACGGACCAGATAGATAGCATCTCACTATGCTTTTGCCATATGCTCTTAGTTGCATCCAGAAACAAGTGACCACATGTTGGCACAGCACCTAAAAAGCCAATCTACTGTAACTAAGAAGAACATGTAGCTCGGACATCTAAGGCAAGGGGAACTTTCTCCGGCCTCTTGAATGTAGCAACATCCATCAACAACGAGGAACACAGATCAAGAAATCTTAAAAATTGACGTGTTTCCTAAACTTCAACTTCACGAGGGGCAACCAAATCAACACATTAACAAAGGGGAAAAACATAATCCGATGCAAGCAATAAGGCGGAGCATGATCTAAATCCGAACAACTCACGAATGATCTACCTGAACCTAGCTCAAAAAGACAACGTTTTCGCAGAAATTTTCTCCCACAAACAAAAAGGGAAGAGAGATACTTGATCATTAAAAGAACCCAGAGACTAGGATGAGCAACGAACCCGAAATCTAAATTCTGTCACCAAGTAAAACACGCGTAAATCTACATAAACCCAGCTCAAATCCACACTTAACACTGCCTCATTCAGATTCTACACAGATTTTTCCAGAAGACAAACACGATGAGAATCCAACAAAATTGACAAATCCAGAAGTTTAGAGCACAGCGATGAATCAAAATCATTAGGTTGGGAAAACAAAAAACCCAGAAGAGAATCCGAAGCTGGGGTTTCAGGAAAATACAAAATCAGAAGATCGATTGATCCAAGATGGGAAAAGATGCACTTTTAGCAAGAACTCAGATTGTGATCAAATCGATAAGAACAAACCCGATCACCGAAAAATCTTCCCAAAGAATCGAAATTTCAGTAGCTGCATGAAGATCCGCGTTCGCTTTCGCGTAGGAAGGAGTCAAAGGAATTCGCGTAGAGAGAGGGAGAGATGGGGGAAGAAGAAAGCGGCAAATCCGGGAAAATGCAGAGGAAAGTGAGATAAGAGCTCTTTGTTTATAAAGGAACAAGCTTTACACAACAAACGAACGACGTGAACGTGACACCCCCAATTTCATATTATTATTCAAAAATTCGTATATACATAAATTTTCTGTAACCATTGTTATTGTTGTTATTATTATTATTATACACCTACTTAAATACATATGCATTTCTAAAGAACCTAATTGAAAACCGATCATTAGACTTACTGAAAACACAAAAGAATAACGGATGACATCATGACAATTGGTGGCGATGGGTTGATGTGTGGTCAATTCAAAACTATAGGGGCTGATTCACCCCAAAAAAAAACTATTGGGTCTTATATGTGATTTTGTGATTATAATGTGGAAACTCAGCTCTATTGTTCACCAATGTTGAAGTGATTATCTAGGACGGCCGTTTCAGAATTCAGATCAAAATTTTAACGGTTCAATTCGGAAACGGTTTATTTGGTATTTTAAAATTTCTATTAAATTAGTACTGTATATTATTCGGTTCGATTCGGTTTAAGTTTTGGTACGGTTCGGTTTCACTTTTTATTAAAAAAAATTAGATTTTTTTTAAAAAAATTCGATTTTTTAGAAATTTTATAAAGTTTGGTTCGCTTCGGTTTGATTTCAGAAAATCCGGTTCTATAAAAATTATATCGTTCGAAAATTTAAAATGGTATGGTTCCAGAAAAATACCAAAATTTTCGGTTCGGTACGGTTCGCTTCTTCGTCGAATAAAAAAATATGGTATTTTTTTCGATTCGAACCTTTCTAAATTTCTTAATGATATTATTTTTAGAAAATCGAATTTTTTAAAAACCGAACCGAACCGAATTTAAAAAATCTCAAAAACCGAAAATTTATAAAGAAAATATATTTTTTTAAAATAAAAACTAGACTCGAATTGAACCAGAACCGAAATCAAATCGAACCGAACATAATATAAAAACCGATTGATATCTATTTTTGTAAAACCGAACCGATGTATTCTCATCCCGAACTCGAACTGATTTTTGAAAGGCTCAGCCCTAAAACTCAGCTCTTTTATGGAATCAAAACATTTTAAAGAGTGAGAGATTAATGTTGTGGATGACATTTAAGTCATCGTTAGTCTTCACTAATAATATTATACATATTATAGATTTAGATTATTTTTTTTTTCCCATTCTCTCTCTGCCCAAAAAAAACGAAAAGAGAAAAAAAGGGTAGAAGGAAAAACAACGGGGAGGCCCATTGGAGTACACACCGATTCAAACAAGTGCCTCTCAGTTTCTGTAGAGGTCAAAGGACCTTTGACTTTTTCATGAGACCCATTGTTATTGACTTCCTCTTTTTTCCGTCTCCCAATTGATTAAAGTTCATTGGTTTTACGCCGAAGTATATTTGGGTTCGAATGTAAGACACGAATCAAATGAAATCAAAATATAAAAAACCGTTGTTATAATATTAATCGAATAAAAAACGGTCGAATATTTAATTGATATAGTTTTTTACGTTAATAAACTAACAAAAATAGTTAAATTAAATATATTCCGAACCCTAAACGCATAACAAATGTGAATAGATGAAAAAACGATTTAAAAAAAGAAAGTGTGTTATTCCAATGCGTTTCATGCAAGAATCATTCGTGGTAATAAGACATATATGACAATTTTAATCTTAAAATAATAATAATAATAATAATAATAATAAATGTCCGATTAGGGGAATAACCACCGAATCAAAAGGGAGACAAAAACATGGGACTAACGTGAGACGCGTTGAAACAAAGCAGCTTCCATTTCTTTTAACAATAACACACATTGTCTCCTTCACTTACTATAAATACGAACCCTCCGCTCTTAACCGAAATCATCACAATAACAACAACAACAACAAAGACCGCAAGAGAAGAGAAAAACATGAGCGTAGAAATACTGGACGGTTCGACCATCTTCGACTTCGTGCAAGACGAAGAAGCGTTCAACGTGTCGGTCACTGACCGGTTCAAGTGGCTGGACTCGGACCAGGACGGGCTGCTGTCGTACGCCGAGATGGTGAAGGAGTTCGGGAGCCTGAGGGTGATGGAGAAGCACTACGGGGTGGACGTGAAGACCGAGCCGGAGGAGATTTCGAGGGTTTACGGAGTGATATTCGAGCAGTTCGACAGGGATGCGAACGGGAAGGTGGATCTGGACGAGTTTCGGGAGGAGACGAGGAGGATGATGCTGGCCATGGCCGAGGGGATGGGCTTCTTGCCTGTTCAGATGGCCCTCGAGGAGGGCAGTTTCTTGATGAAGGCCGTCGAGAGGGAATGCTCCAAGCTTCTGCTCCCACCTGCATGACAAAAAAAAAATACAGACAACGATGTATTACCAAAATTAATCTTTTGTGTTTTTCATTATTATTTTCGGCTTTTTTTGGACCGTTGATTTCAGAGTTATGATTTGTGTATCAATGTTAAACTATACGTTTTTTTTTAAATTGTCGAAATCTATTTTGTTAAACCATATGTTTCTTGAAGAGATATACTAATAAATTAAATCCATTTGTATTCGATTTTAGGTATTTTGATTTCAAAAATATAATTATTCGATTTTTAGATTTAAGTTTGACTCCATTAAATTATATTTTCATTTCATCAAATACTTAATTTTTTCAAAAAAAAATTCATTTTGTAAATATTTTTTAAATACTAACCATTTGATTTTAGATTAAATTCGATTGGATTACAGTTATTCGCTATTCCGTTCGATGTCAATTCGAATTATTAATCAAATTGACCACCTAATAACAGCATATAATACAAATGATAACCTGGGTAGAACCAGCCAGCAAAACCGGATTGGGGATGGGGGAAAGAATTTTGGTTTACCAATTCCGGTTAACGGAAAACCGGAGGATCGATTAAGAAGAAAATCGTAGCATTGAAGTGGTTTAGTTATAGGAATACAGACATTTTCTCCGTGGAAGGAACGAAGGGAAGAATCCTTTCACCAAAGAGGTCGAACAATGTTACCAATAGACGTCCCGAACTCAGATCATCTTTCCATATCTGATCAATTATTGCTTTCCTTGTTACTCCCTGACCTCGTCTTTCTCTGCCGTTCTCATTTCCGCTCTCGGATTCGTTACCCGAGTCTCGTGGCTGATCCTGTACTTCCGTCGGCGACTTCTCCACTTGCATCGGAGATATCTCCGTTTTATCTGATGATGTACCATCAGGACCGTCGTTAACTGCTGATCTCTTCCAGGGAGGCTGGTTTTCTGCCTCGAGTTTATCTGAAAAATTCACACCGAGAAGTACTGAGAAATTCCGAAATCAGTGCATAAGATCATTGAGATGCATCTGGAAACCCGAATCCGAGTGTCAGTTACTCAGTTTATGTTTCCGGTTTTATTCTAGGACATAAGTTCATCATCAGGACAAACAAACAACCAGAGACAAGGATTGTCGCTTACAAATCATCTGCCAGGGTGGAGGTGATGATACTTACGTGGGTCGGTACCTATAATCTTTCCCCTTCCCTTCTGGAGGAAACCGGCATTTGGAGGTGAAGACAAAGGTGGGAAGATCTTAAGCCGGTCGTGAATACACAACCCTGCTGCCCGCTGAAAAAGGAAGAACGCTACAATAAGTTGTCTTGAGAGAGAGATTCTAAGAACGGGCTTGGCTGCATTTGATTATTAGGACAAACCAGCAAGGCTCCATATACACGCCAAGCTTCGTGCCTCTTCATCTGGTTCTTCTGCTTCTCGGCTACCAGTTCTGGTTCCAGAAGTTTAAGGTACGGCTCGAGGTTTGGCAGGATAAGAAGCCGGACCTACACCGTTAAACAACCGATACTCAGCTAATAACCAGCTGCTATATAGTCCAGGACTAGAACAACCCATACCTTATATTATACTGGATAATAATTTTCGAAAGAGGAAGAGAAAAAAAAAAGAAGACCAATGAGACCCCAAGGAGGATTGCAAATAGATGGCAGCAAAAATAGGAGGTTGAAGGAAGACAATGGAATCGAGACAATCCATTCAGAATTTAACGTTCATAACTCTCAGGGGAAACTTAATAAGTAATTACCACATTGTGTCCGAGCGCTGCTAATCCTTGAACGGCCCCATAGTGTTGAGTCAATGCTTTCTTCGGGTCTAATAGTGCGTTGACTAAAGTTTTCGTGAGGCGTGACTGGAGAGTGCTGTAAACATGTCCATACCTGGAAATTGTTTTCCATCCAGAGATTTCAGAAGAAAAACTTTACAAAGGCAGATAAGTGATACACATCTAAGCAAGTACAAAAACAGGATTCTTTGAAAAGACAGAAACTGAAACTAAAGGTTAGTGTCTATTTTGTCTATCAGTTAAGACCTAGCCTTAGTCATTCTTCTGCTTGACCCAAAAGAACCAGATGTCCATCAAGAAGAGCCAGGTAAGGTTATTTAAATCTTGAATCATTGAATAAACTATATGTACACACAAATCATATCGTATCACCACATAGCGTGGTTGCATACATTTTCTTTATTCACTAGTTCCTTATAAGGAGTTAGAATATAATCTCTTGTCCCATAAGTAGATGACACCCCTTCCTCCTTTCCCCAACCATAGAAGCACCAATTTCATTGCAATAGATTGACTGCTATTTCCACATAATTCATGTTATGTGGATGGAAAGAATGAAAGAGAAAGTTAACCTTTTGCATATCAGTGCAACCAGGTTTGCGGAAAAGTCTCTAAGTTCCCAGTGGTTGTCGGCAAATCTATTGCCAAGCTTTCTTGAGACAAGGCAGGTCACAACAGATGGCATCAATTGGTGTAGCTGCCAGCCAAAGGGGAAAACCTAACTTAGTTTCATAGTTATGGAAGCAATGCACAAGCAACCAACACATATTAGATCATTATTCCAAAGGTTGACTAACTAAAAGCATACGAATAGCAACCACCTTGGTGGTGAAATTATCTAAAATCTATAACAAAAGCTAATACATTTGCCACTCTAGGATAAGGAGTACTGAGGCTGAACCCAAATTTTCATGTTTTGACGCGTTAATCCCCGGTTATTCAGTTTTTTTTTTTTTACAAATCCTGGATTTTCCTTGAATCACTGATATGCAGCAAACCATAAACCAATGAAAATTGTCAAGGCGAGTCAAACACTAAAGGAGACCAACTTATAACCCTATTATGCACTATTCCAATGGGCACCTTAAGTAATACACACCACCTCGAGAACACCAGGATTTTCAGTAAAATAAACCTATATCTGAAACACTAGATATGGAGCTACGGAATTCTATGATGACGCTTTCAGATCAAATATGATAATCCAGGGAGTTACTTACATAAGGCTCTATATGAATGTGAGGATTTTGTAGAAGACTTCTAACTATGTGCATTAGGTTAAATAGGAGGAGGTAATCATTTAAGCCACGCGACACCTGCATCATTGGAGAAAAAAACACATGATGAGCAGCAAATCCATAAATACAGATCTTTATTTTCCAAGAGTTCCTCTCCGGAGGATAACATTACCTCATCAGCGATGAAATTTGTAAAATACGGAACCAGAGGATGAAGTCCCGAGTCTGAGGCCAAGCTCGCCAATGCTTCTTTAAACAGAACACGATTTGACTTGCTCATTGTAAGTTCTACAATCTTCTGGAAATATAGCTGTTGAGAGAGAACAAAGAATCAATCTTACACTTGCAATACTCTCCTCTTGCCATCACAAGTAGCTTGGGTTGAGCTGTGTACCTGAAGTTCCCTAGACAGTACATGCTTAACTGGTAGCCTGAGGTCAATAGGGGGTCCCTCTTTTTGTTGCTGGATTTTGTTATTTGCGGGTGCTCTAATAACTATAGACAGCAGAAAACAAATGTTTACATTCAAGTCTAAACAAAAATAAAACACAAATCAAATGGCTTGCTGAAACTGTTTTATCTCTATGCCATGTCTACTAGTACTAAAAGGTTCGATTAAAGTAAAAATTCTCTGATCAACCATATTATGAGATACAGCCGTCTTAGCCAAGTTAATTCATCCTGAAACTTCATCATGCATGCTAATTTTTCAGCCATAACCTCAAGTATATCAAGCTTATCAATTAAGAACTGTAACCAAGGATACATAACCGCAATATGAAATTCGGACCTTCTAAAGGAGCATTTTCTGGTACAGCTGGTTGCACTCCTTCAATAGCCAGCCAATGGCAGAGAATTTCTGTATCGAGGGGAGCCTTTGGCAGTGGAGCTTCGATCACCTAGAATCACAACAAACACTGAAAATGTCGAAACTAACATACACTGCTTAACCGGAGCAAAAAACGTATTTACTTATGCGAGATATCTTACATCTTTGAAATCCACTTCCCTATCATCAACATAGAACAGATCCCGATGCCCAAGTGCTCTTCTGAAATGTAATGGTCCTCCTGAAGCAAAGCCATATATCGGCTGCATGATATGATAACAAGGATAAGTCATTTCTCATATCCATGCGCTCAAGTTAGTTAGCTGCTCTACAGCTGTATGACTCTGCTGCTCTATTTTTCATAGTATGAAAGCAAAATTTCAGAAGAAAGGCTAACCCTAGAAACTGAGAAAGCATATTTCTTTTCGTATGTTGTAACTTATATGGGCCAAAGAAAAAACAAACAAAAAAAGCAGGATATCACTCCCTAAGCATGCTAGAAAATATTTCACAAAGAGTGCAACACAGTAAATGATAACAAGGATCGGTTTCTGGGAACTACCTCCACATTTCTTAAGTTGAGAGCACCATTAACGTCATCGGCTGATAAAGTTGTCCTCTTTGAGTGGCGCATGCATTTGATAGCTTCCTGCAAAGGCACCCAAAAAGATCACGCAATTGATCGTTCTTAACATTTTCAATCTTCCCCAGGCTAAAGCAAGATCAACTGTCATTGGCTGTAATGCTCTAAGCCTCTACCTATGTAACTTAAAAGCCAGCATCACTCACGATTGAAATTCACGCCAATAACTTTGCAAAACAAGATATAAAAGTTACCTGCATGATCTCACGAACACGATATTCGACATCTGGAGCAAGCATAAGTGCCGCATCTTTCGACAGGTTGGTAATCCCGATGCTTTGTGCTATGACTTCAATCGTTTCCTTTGGTACAATGCTCATTTTTTCCCCAAACTCTCTTCGTTATCACAGCAACTATTCTCCGATTTTCTGTAACCAAACGAGAGAAAAATCACGAAACCAACCTAAAGACAAATATAAGAACGAGGGTAGCTCTGAAATTTTCCATCTCTAAATCTCCCAGAGCATACAGAGACAAAATACCGTATGAACAGTCGCTATAACAAAATCATGTAGAGAGAAACCGAGCTGAGCAGTCATAAACACAGCCCAGGGAACACAGAAACGAGTGAAATAAATCTAGGCTGAACCCTAATGAACCCTAATTCCGAATTGAAGCCAAGCAGGAGCACCCAAAAAAAAAAGCGACAGCGAAACGGAAAACCCAATAGCTCCGGGAACTAGCTGTACCTCTCCGACACAATCAGGACTGAGGACGAAGCCTGATCTCCCGGGGAGGAGAAATTTTGAGTGGAAAGAACCTGGGGGAAGAAAATCCGAGGGACGATTTTACAAAATATATGGGCTTTGTTTGGGCCCACTATATACATAATGGGCCAATTTGGGCTTATCCAATCCTACTTTTCAAATCATATAATCGACTTCAGGATAAAATCTCCATGCACAATGCACAACCTCAACAACGGAAACATAGATTTTAAGAATTCTGTAGATTTTTTTGGGTCGGAATTATTTATATATATTTATTTATTTCTAATAGCTAAACGTATTTATTTGAAAGTAAAAGAGTTGATGAGTTTCCTTTTTTTCTACACAACTAAACAAAACTCAAATAAAATAGCAGAGAAATCGTTTACCAAAAAAAAAAAATAGCAGAGAAAAAGGGGGAAAGAAATAAATGATGGATTTTGGTGAATGGTATTTTTCGCCGAGTTACGTTTATTTCAATGGTACTCTACTCGGCGGTACAAATGGAACAAAAAAAATGGCCCCAAGAGCGTTGGGGCGTATAATAATAACAAACAGCAAAAGGCTTTGTATAAAGAAGAATGTCAAGTAACATTCCGGACCCAAGATATCCCGCTCGTAAACGATCGGTGAACTCTTCTCGTTACCGTTGTTGCCGGTGTCTTTTCTTCCGACTGTTTCACGGCTTTTTCCTCTGACGGCTCGTTCGTTTCGCCCTCTTCCGTTAGAAACCTGAGGCCCTGCACGTTATCGCAGTCTCGGTATCAATGACCTTACAAAACAATGCATCCCATATGAATCTACAACTATCCTTAACTATTTTCAGATTCTTATCCTTTGAATGAAGTTTAATCCATTGGAATTACGATGAAGAATCCTCAACGTTCATGTTCAATGGGAGACAAGAAATTCACAACCCTAAACCCTTCTATTGTGCTCTCGAAAAAAAACCTTTCTGGATGTGCATTACAGTAATGTTCTTGGTCAAGTTCCCCTAGTAACTAAACAACAAATGCAGGTTTCGAGTCTAAGGAAAGAATACCGGAAAAAAAAAGAGTTCTGTTACCTCGAGAGAGTTATCAGGTGCCCCTTTTGATTCGATGGGTAACGGTGAACCAAAGTCCTATACAAGGAGCCGGGAAAAAAAAAGATCATTTACTCGGCAGACCACAGGAATCGGTAAGATCATTTACAAATATATATATTGATTGGTTGGAGTCACTCTCTCACCTGAAAAGCTTTTGTGCCTGTCCCGCTCTTAACACCATCTGCAACTTGGCATAGGTGCCATAGTCCTGAGATTGTCACATCCTGAGAATACCGATAACGTTTTAGATCAAATAATTTCCAATACACATCTCCTGAAGCAATTTCGGCAGAGGGTTTTAGTGATATTGGAATGGAAGACTGCAGACAGATACCTGTTTGCTCTCAAGAAGTTCAATCTTCCCTTCCTGTAAAATTGACCCCATAAAGTCGATTGCAGAAAAAGGAATATTAGTTCTACAATATGTGTAAGCTTTGGATTATGGAAGCAAATCATGTAGTTAAGAGGGAAATGATGTAACTTACTATGCCAGATATCATTTCATGAATTGTCTGGACATCAAACCCAATCTGAGAAAGATTTGATTTCATTTCACCAACCTGCATCAAAGCAGGATATCATGCGAAATAGGCATATTAGTCTATATTAAATATATTCTCAGAGAAGGTAACGTTGGATGTGCGCATAAACTAAGTAAATGCGGGATAAGTTAAAAAAAAAAAGAAATCTGCACAGCCACGTACTCAACCCATTGACATATGGGGTTAAATAATCTATAGACTTAAACTAAGAAGCTCAAGCCCCACATCTAATGTACATTATAAGTATCGTGGTCTATCAAAATTTCTGCAAAGATTATGAAAATGAGTCCATAATTTTACTATCCTTAAATTACAAGCAACGTGACTCCCACACAAGTGAGAAAATGACTCGTATCACTAGAAGATGATTGCCTCGGAATATTGATATGAAATTCAAGATGCATTCCAGGTCTGCAAAGGATGTTAGTACTATATGCATACACCGCATACCACAGAATTTGGAGGAATGCAACATTATCTCAATCTGAAGTCCTGAAGAAGGACATCGGTTCGAGGAAGCGAAATATAAGGATCACTTACATTGGATAAGATGAGATTAGATGTCTCGTGCTGCTCTTCCACCTTAAAGTCCAACGTCTCCAACCTTTTAGAAAGATGTCTCCTTGTTGACTGCATGAACAAAGTTACCGACTCCAAAACCACAACTTGAGAGAAAAGTTAAAATACATAGGAAACACAATGACAAAGGGATCTTACAGCTAAGGTTTCTGAAAGATCATCAAGCTGTCTCGAGACAGCAGTGACTGCACTTGCCATATTTTTCTTCGTTACAAACATCACATCAGAAAATGACCAACCCTGCAAGGTAGAAAATAGGAGGCGAGTAAATCTTGCAAGTCAGTGCTGTAGAATGCATGAGGAACTTAAATTTATGTAACTCTAACAAAAGACATGTAGAAGAAAAATATATATATATAGATTCTCAAGTGATGGGCACAAAAATAACCTTCCACCACATGTAACAGTATCCCATAGCTCCAAGTGCAGCAGCTGGCACTAGGTAAGAAGCATAACTCCCTGCATGATCAAGAACAACAACAATTTCGTACTCCTAGTCAAGAAGAGCAGGGATACTGAAAGTTTGTACAAATTGTTAGGAGGTCTATGTTCACATTTCTACAAAACTAAGTCAACTTACATACCGCTGGAGTTTGAATTTCCATTAAAAATAGTTATTGGATTGGATAGGCTTAGTTCTTTGATCTCTTTTGCTATCTGCCGAATCTGATGAAGGGGAAAAAATCAAGTCACAAAGAAAGAGGATCCAGTGTCAGTTTAGTAATGCCAATAAACTCCACAAGTCTTCATATTTTGATTACGTCAGTTCGATTGATGAGAGAATGAATTAAACAAGTTAAAAGGCGAACAAACTACCTGAGCAGCAAGTTGTGCACTATCATACTTATATGATGAAATATCAACTCCTTCGGTTCCCTGGAGTAACTCTTGAAGCTGCGCTATCAGCTCAGACAATCTCCCATGTCTCAGCATAATTGAACCAGATAAACCTTGAACATGAAAATAGAAAATTATCAGTTCAAGTAAGATCAGAACAGAAAGTGATTTCCAGAACAAGTAATGAAGCCCCCAAGGTGTACTGATATGAAATAGGAACAGGAAGTCTACGAGACACCAGAGCCAGCACGGCAATATTACAAAATTCAGACAGAAACCCCCCTTTAAAACCTTATATTTCTACCCTTTTGGTGCCAAATTAAGAGAAACGGCTAATCAGACAACGGAGACAAGCTTTGTCCATGTGAAAACTTAGATACTGAATACAAAAAACAGCATACAAAATACTGCAGAAGCTTATATTACAAAATCTACCAGAAGTGGCAAGCAGAACACGTGTGCATAACACAATTCGATAACTTTCGCCTAATTTCCAATGGATATCAATCAAACCGTCTGTTCCCCAAATAAGAAACAAGTAACCACAACGACGAATTACCATCAGGCATACTCGAAACAATGAGATTCTGAAAGGAAAAAAAAAACACCTTACACTAGACCAATTAGTCATCGGCAAAGCACAACTTCTGAATAAATTCGCGCAGTGATTCATCAAACTTTCAATTTCTACGACTGATTCATGCCTATACCATCGCGAATTATAGAAACATTTTCCCAGATTACAGTCACGGCAATACGAATCCAAGCAACTGGATTTACTGTAAGCAAGCCAAAAAGAGAGAGAAGAACCTGCGCCAACAAGGATGAGGACCTTGGAGGTCTGAACGCCAGCCTGCAACGCCATGGATTCCGGTCGGAGCTTGAAAGATCGGCGACTGGCTTTTCTCGATTGTTCTGTTCCGCGTCCCCAAGCCACCACAATAGAACGCCCCTTTTGCCCTTTGGACCTCCGGTTTCCCTATATTTGACCAAAAGTTCAGACCCTTTAATATTTTTATTTTACATTTCCACCCCAAACATTTAGAAAGGCAATCACCACCCTCTACTATAATCAACTTGGCCTAATCAAATTACAAGGTTATTTTGGACATTTCGTGTGAGACACGACCCACGATGCTTGCTTAAAGCATCAGTAGATTGCAGGGTTCTTGTGTAATGAAACTGTGTTCTTGAATGTCATAAATTTTTGTTATTTTTTTTCCTAATAAAGTTTGATTTTTTGGATCGAATTTGAGACTAAAAAAAATCTTATGAAGAAGAAACTGCAATAGACCTCAAACCCCAACTGAATCGAATTTCGGACACAAAAACGATATACTTTCTTTTTTGGCTGCAGAGAAGGTTCGAACATCAACAGGTTACATGTAAAACATCAAAGCAACTCTCCAGAAAGAAAAAAGAAAAAAGAAAAAACTGGTCGACTCACTCATAGTCATAGTTCATAAGATGCTAAAAGGATCAACGGACTTTGCCTTTTCTATGTTGTTTTTTTTCAGACAAATGTTATACTTAACGGTCACAACTCTCCCATGAGTTCTTCAAGAGAGAATTCATCTTCTTCGAGTATCTCTCCATCCTTACCATCCCAAGGTTCCGTCTTCACTATCTCCGGCGCTCCGTCTATCGGTAAGTTCCCTTTTCCTCCGCGACCAGCCTCCTTCACGAATTCCCTGAACAGAAGAAACAAACACAAAATCATGTCCGAATGAGCAAAATCCATTCATGGTCTTGACCCTTTTAACCAGTTTTTGTTCGCTTGGAATGGCGAAAAAGGGATCACTTACATGATGGGTTCGACCTCAAACGCACTTTTAAGCGGAGCGTAAGCTCCTTTCTTCGAGTTCAAGGCCACCATAGCCGGATAACCGTACCCTCCAACACCAACCTTTGTCTCCAGATCTGTCTGCTTTCCGGCAGCCACCCACACAAAACTGGACAAGACCCACATCAAATTTTTTACATCAGACTCCTTGTAATAACTTTCACTCTCACTCTCTGCTCAGGGATTATGATCTTTTACAATCCAAGTTGTCTCTTTTACCTGTAAGGGCTCCTCTTGAACTTGTCAGCAACGGTTAACAACATATCGAGGTACTTGTTCCTTCCTTCAGCCTTGGAATCAAGAATATCAGGCAAGAAAGAAACAAAGCATATAGCAGCTGAACCACACTTCTCTTCCATTGCATCCTACACAACGATAATGTGACCAACTTGTGTCTCAAATGTTTTTAGAGTCGGAAAAAAGCTCGGTAAACAAAATGAGAAGGAGAAAATGATCATTATTACCGGGCCAGTGAGTTCAGTAGCTTCAGCAGGGCCAGCATTGGCTTCGAGCATTTCCAAACCAAAGGATTCTATGGCAGATGCAGTTCTAGCACCCTCGTACAGAATATGGCTGCTTTTGTCTGCACCGAAAACCAATATCGTGGGGAATCCTTGTACTTTGAATCTGCTCATTAGAGACTGCCATATATAAACAACCTTGTCAAAACTCATCAGATGTGAAAAATGACAAAAAAAAAGAAAGAAGATCATTATGGATGTATTAATACAACAATGTAGCAGCTGAACAGAATTCATGTTATGATAGATGTAAATGGCTTAAGGGCTATCAGACTTGACATTGATCATGAAGAACAGTAAAAAGTATTGAAATTGGTGGCCTTTCATGGTAATAGCCAGCCATCATGAGCATTTTTTTTTACCTGATCGGCATCACAATTTACATGGCCCAGGTTCACCTTCCCCTTCAAGTTCTTTGCAGCTTTTTTCCACTCAGGAGCAAGCTTTTTGCAGTGTCCACACCTGTTGGAAGTGGAAAAAAAAAAGATTGATGGTTTCAACTTCCATAAGGGATGTTAAAGGAAGGGATTGTGATTTAACTTTGTGGTTTACAACCATGTGGTCCTTCTCATGGATAATACAATTTCAATTTAGCTACTAATGATGATAAATGTCTCCAAATTTACAGATCAGTTAATAAAAGAGCTACTTACCAAGGTGCAAAGAACTCCACAATCCAAAGTTCTTTGCTTTTAATAACCAACTCATCAAAGTTGCTAGAGTTCAATTCGACAGAGGCACTGGGCTCAGATTTCTTCTCACTGGATCCTCCTCCATTTGCTTTCCCATGCAAACGATCCTTCAAAAGAGCCTTTATCTGCAATGTGAAAAATCATAAACATCTATAAACCAGAGCGGAACTATCGATTTTTTTTTAAAATTAAAAACGTTAACTAAGCATACAGACTCAAATTAAAAAATGGGTGTTTCACAGCCAAACAGGGCAAGAAAAGGAACATTTATATTTCTGAATTACTATACAAGCAATATCGTGCCATGGAGACTTCAGAGGACTATGTAACCAAAGATGCTGATAAATATTTAGATCCTGAAGTGCAGTCCTTTTCATATTTTGAAATGTTTAATTTCAAGACCAAAATAACATAGAATCTAGACTAATAGCCACGTAAAGAGATCATGAAGCTCAGAGTGTGTATATTAGCTTCCTTGATATGATACATTACAAAAGAATTCAGTTATCCACTAAGGTTGGAAAAACCATAAGTAAATGCCCTTAGCTTCACCGAAAATGACACTAAACTAAATGCCCAAAAATCTTGTAATGGGATGAAAATGTCCCCAACAAATAGTTAAATCTGGAACAAGGAATTAACAAGTGTATTGTGACAAAACCTGCTGGAGAGCAAACTCGGCAATGGGTTTGGCATCCCTTGCTCCTTGGTAATCAATTGGAGCCTTTCCGGGCACAAAGACCTTAATGGTCGGGAAACCCTTAATACCGTACTCCTGGAGCAAAGAAGAACAAGTTTCAGATAACGGGATAATGATACATAACAGATTCCCCATTTGATGTTCCTTATAGTTTAGTAAATGGAAGTCGAGAAGTAAACGAAGATTAGTATGAAAAAAAGACTTGAAAATAAACAATAGAAACCTGAGCAATAGACTTGTGAGCGTCAGCGTCAATGGCAGCAACAGTGGCAACACCTTTCAAGATATTAGCCACCTTCTCCCATGTCGGTGTTAGGGCTTGACAGTGACCACACCATGGTGCAAAGAACTCAACTAAAACAACTCCGTTTGAATTAACAACCTGTCACCATTACCATCACATATGTGCTTATTACCAAAGCCATTATCCATTCTGCTACAATATATATGCAATGTATCTCCTCCCAAACAAGCCACAATAGATTCCATCGGGGATATACATGGATATTACATCCTACACAGTCACAAAATGGAGATTTCTCCTTCAGTTCTTCCAAAATTTCAAAGATTTGTAGTACCCACCAAGAGGATAACTTAGACCGCGATATTAGTAAGGCAAACCGGTCCTATGTAAGCAGAACGAACAAGCGAATATCCAGATCGTGCTGTGTCACAGGAAAATCTCCATCGACGAAGCCAGACCCAACGAACAAATATAATTTCTACTTTCCCAGGAAAAAAACACAACTTTTCTGGGAAACCAAACATGTAACGGAACACGAGAGAGAGAGAGAGGAGGTCGAACCTTGGACTTGAAGTTCGAAGGAGTGAGCTGAACCACAGGAGACGAAGGCCCATAAAGGGCACTGCCCAGATCGAAGAACGCGAAAGATATAGAGAAAAGCGTGATCAACGTTAACGGCGATTTGTACATCATCTTCTTCCACTTTCTCGAGAATTTTTTTTTCTCCAAGAGACACCTCCCTCGAGATTGCGAGACGGCAGAGCTAAAAAAACTGGCTCCTCGGAGTTACGTGTGCTAACCAATAATAACATTACACGTCAGTTCGCTTCTCGCTTATTTTTTAGACAAATATTTGGGGATATTATCGAAAATATTTATTTTTATTTCAATATATGGCTTGTCAATGTAACATTAGCATGTGACATATAATATGTTTGATCTCATTGTTTGATGTTTTAATCAAATAACGTTATAATCAATAAAATCAAAATGTTATTATACTATATTTTGGATCACAAATCTACAGATGGAAAAAGTTATATTTGAGATAAGAATAACAACTTAGAGATATTTTTTATATAATACCAAATCTTTGCTTATTTAAAAAAAAAAAAAGAGGTTATATGTGTATACCCTTATGGTTTAAATGAAATGAATAATAATCAAAATCATTATTAGTCGACAATTTACTACGACCGCATGAAAGTAGATACATTTAGGGACAGAAACTTTCCCTTAGATACCACAATCAACCACGACGTCGTTTCATGCACAGATCATGATACAACAACGTTAAAGTTGGAAACTTCCGATCTGAGGGTGCTGTCGTGTGATGTGAACAAAAACCCGTTGATCGAAAGGATAAAACCGAAACAATATCGAAAACCCAGAAGAATAAATCCATACCCAGCTCCCCAAAATCCAACAATCGCCACGAAAAACCTGAAATTTATCAGCCCATGAATGAAATTAGGGTTTTCTTCCTTCACCCAGAAGTGGGCGTCCCTCTGCTTGGTAGTTTGCTGCGTTCTCACGCCACGGGGGTGCCGAAACCCGGTTTGAGTCGACTCGGGCGAGTCAACCGTTTTGCTTGCGATTTGCATAATCTTCGGGACAACTACACGGGAATGGTCTTCTCCACGCAAAGGACGAAACTTTGACCCCCCAAGTTTTTTCTTTCACCAAAAGCTTCGTTTTTTTTTCCTCCCGCATACAAATTCTGTGAAAATGAAATGTGACAAAAAGTGTAAGGTACCAAATTACTAATTGCTGCATGATAGAGAAGAGTAATTTAATGACCAACATTCACCGGATCTGCATTCTTGTGTGCCATTGATTATATATTTCACACATTTGGATCATGCCATTGAGTTTAACTATTGAATTTATAAATTTATTCCTCACAAGCAGTGTCACTTCTCTAGATTTAGAAACCATAAGAATTTGAGGCACCAATACAACATATGCAAAAAGAGGACCAAAAAGAATATATATATATATATATATATATATATATATATATATATATATATGACTAGGTTTTATGCGTGGTATTTGTAACAAGGCAACAACGTAAGAAGCCATGCACGTTATAATGTGGCCAACCCTTGTTGTCGCTTTTACATGGCTACATTTCATTACAACACAAGAGAGAAAAAAAAAACAGAAAA